AAATCAGTGGGGGGGATATGAAATAATTCCATTTTTGTGCAAAAAAGGTGCGAAAGTGGATGTTCCGGATGGAGACGGACGACTACCGATACATTATGCTTGTGAACGCAGACCTTTACGCATGGTAGAATTACTGGTAACGAATGGAGCGCGATTAGATTTTGCGGACAAAAATGGTCAGCTACCGATGCACTATGCTTGCAGAAATAGCCGGAAGGGATATGAAATAATTTTATTTTTGTTAGAAAAAGGTGCGAAAGTGGATGTTCCAGATGGAGATGGACGGCTGCCAATAAACTACGCTTGTGAACACGGACATTTAAATGTAGTACAATTATTACAGAGACGGGTAGATATGCATTAAAGATACAGCATATTGAGGATGATTTCGAAACATATGAAAAAATTGTAACCACGGCATCACGCACTGTAGTAATGTGGAAATATAGAAAAAACAAATTAAAAGTGGAATGGAGCAAAACCCCCATGAACGCGGGCCAATCTGACGTTGCCATCAACTACGCCATAAAGCATTACCATGTCGAGACGCTCTGAATTTGACTTCACCATTGTCAAAGACGTTAACTGAAAACACGACGGCAACCAACTGATACATGACTCGCCCTTATCGTGTTTTTACACTTTACTAACTAATTTTTTAGTTTCAAATATTTTTTTCTAGACATTGCTATCACTGAATGAACGTGAATTTTAGACTTTTTTTATTGCACACATTTCGAAATCACTTTTATGTGAAAAATTTGCCAAACTGCCATTAAATACACCATTAAAATGACACGATTCCAATTAAACCGCATCACTTTGGACACCGTAATGACATAATTAAGAAAATTAGTTTACACTCTAAGGGAATTTATAAAATATTGATTGTTAAACGTTTCAATTTATTTAGTGCATCGTAGTATAATTGACTTTAATCGACTAACAAAAATGAGCGCATAGATCAGAATTAAATTTAGTTATCAATTTTGTAGGTACGAGTTATACTGAATAGAAAAACAATAAAGCAATATCCATCATAGAAGTTATTAATGTTTAGATCGAATTCTAAAAATGTCTAGAGGAATGACCATATGTTTCATCGATTTGCATCATATTTATGTAGGATCTAATTATTTTTAAGACGTTAAGACCTGGTTTATAGAAACCGAAGTTAAAGTTAATTCGCGATTAACTTTTAATTGAGGTTCGTTGCTAGGCGACGTGCAGGTTTTAACCAATCACGAGCTCCCATTCCACATTTTAATCCAGTGTTAAATTAATCGAGGATTAAATATTTAACTCGCGCTTCTATAAACCGGCCCTAATAAATGTAATTTATTCAGTATGTATGTTTTGAGTATAAACGTACAGGGTTTGTCAAACACTGAAACCTGCACTGTTTGATGAAATCTTAAATTTTTAATTCTATGGAAATAGTCTTATGTGTCTTGAATATTATACTCCTATATTTTATGTATAATTGGTGTCCATCGATGTTGACAAGGTTAAATTTATGTATTTATGTATTATGGTTATGAATAAGTCTTAAAAAGTACTTTATAAGTAGCAAAATGGACTGCCACGTAGGGTGTTTTATAATAAAAGAATATATATTTTTATTTATTGCACTAAGAAAATAAAAGCGATAGGTACTTGTTTGTGTTGATCATTGTTACATACTCATGTTACGATCAGTGTTGGGCAGTATCTAGATACTTGTATCTAAATAAAGTATCTAGATACATTTTTGGGTATCTAGTATCTGTATCTAGATACAAAATTAATGGCGCAGATACAGATACATTTTTTTAATTTCACTTTTTTTTCAGTAGTTATTAGTTGAGTTATACTAGTAGTAATTTTTGATACTTCATGTTGGTGATTTTGGTCACATAAACAAAAATAGAGGTAAGAGGTCGACTAATAGTGTTCTGTCACGGAAATTTTCGTATTTTAAATACCATCATTTCCTACATTGCAGCCTTCAGTACTTATACATCTTTAAATATAATCCTGAGGGGTAATAAATCTAAGCCATGGTAAGATGGTATTTTAAAAACCATAAACCACAATTCACTATTCACTGCGTTTTATGCTTATCGGGGCAATGCATTTTATCTGTGCACCTGTTCAACCCGGTTCCGGTAGGCCCGCTGGTTGTATTTGTGTTATTAAATAAGAGTAAGTTTAATAGTAAAAATATTTGTTTAAGGTATGTTATTATTTTTAGAAAATAATAATTACGTGTTACATAATGATTAATTTTTACAATTAGCACAAATTAGTTCTGTAATCGACTAATCGAATGTTCAATACATACATTTCTCTCGCATAAATCGCATATTTGTTACTGTCTTATACCTTTATTTTTCAGACAAACTTCATCTTTTCCTGTTGCAACATGTGTTATTTCTTCACTTTTTCATTGTTGGACCTAACGCGAGGCGGGCTTGGCAGGTCCGTTTTGCCCTAGAATGTGCCGATAATGTTTAAGTGTAAATCTTGGGCAATAAAATTAATACTTTTACAACCCTCGGTAGAATAATTTATCGTGATATATTCTCAGAAATCAGGAAACGAGATTAAAACAAAATGAGTTTCAACAAAAATCTGAAAATTTAAAGTTGCACTCTGGTGATTGCGGCCTGCCAGGCAGCCTTTGATCCTATAGTGGTTTAAATGCCTTTCCAAGAAATTGTACTTATTTTGCCTTAAACGGAACCAGCAATTCTTCCTAAAATGTATATACCTGTCGCACCGGGATAGACGATTACCGGACATGGTCATAAAAACATCGTAAGCCGATATTGAAGAATAATAATTTATGACAGGTTGCCGACAACAGACCTTCAGCACAGAATAATCATTTCCCGTATTCTTTTGAAACATTAATCTTAATGCTGGAGATAATTATTAGATGTACTCAAACACAATTTGGACACTGTAGTATGGGTACAAAGGCAAAAAAAATATACTTTTTAAGCGTACTTAATAAATATTGCACGATTTGCGACACATCAGACAGCGAAGCGATGGCCTATTTGCAGGAAAAAAGAAAAGATTTTTCAGTCTTGAATAACTATGCCACAGTAAAATGTTTATTTTTTAAATTTAATACCACAATCCCTTCTTCTGCACCTGTGGAACGGGTGTTTAGTAGCGGAAACCAAATTCTGACACCAAGAAGAAATAATTTAGGTGACAATACGTTCGAAATGTTGCTAATTTTAAAAAATTCATTAAACAATACATAAAAAATATATAAACATGTTTTCAGTTATTTTATTCGCCAAACCTTCAAAAAGTATCTGTTTTCTTGTATCTGTATCTAGATACATTTCGAAAAAATCGAAAACAATCTGTATCTAGATACTTTTATCCTCCATATATCTATATCTGTATCCAGACACTTTTAAAAGTATCTATTCCCAACACTGGTTACGATTCTTGAAGAGACTCGCAAACCCACCACTCACCTGTCACCACCTGAAACTTCCCTTATAGACCAATTTCGTAGCTTTTCGCTTCTCCAGAGGCGAACTACATTTTTTCCACAGCTCTTTTATAAAATTATAAATTAATGCCCTTTATTTGTTGCCACTATTTTACCTAGAGGTGAAAATTTGTCCACGTTTTCTTCATTAAATATGTTAATAATTTATTTTGAGTTATCAGTTGTGTGCAAGTGTGTATTAAAAAAATTACGTAATCACAAATATTTTATATTTTTAAATAAACTCTTATCTAACTGTTTGTTCATTGTAAATAACAATTAAAAATAAGCAAATACTGACATAGAAAAAATTTTTCCTCATTTTTTTTAGGCGCAGTATAAGAGATAAGATCATCAGCTTTAATTTATAAATTTAATCATATCGATACCGTTACGGAGCATAAATCGAAATAACAACGATTTTTGTAGTACATTTATCTGTATGTTCACACATACAGATAAATTCTCTAGTACTTAATATTTTCTTCTTCTGGTAACTTTTAGTTCGACTGCAACTTGTTCCCTTAAAACTTACAGTGATTCTCGTCATCTTCCGCATTAGACATCCAAAAAAATTTGTTAAGCCTTATATGGACAATTCCAAATGTTAAGGGCGTAACAAAAAAAGGAAGTATAGTACTTAATTGAGTCCATCGGATGAATGGCCACTTATAGTTTCTCGACGTTTCATGACACCTAGAGTACGAAAAAGTAGTCCCGTTTCCATCTGTTTTTCTGTCTGTCTGTCTGTCTGTCTGTTTGTCGGGTGTAGAGTATCCATTTTTATTAGACAAGTAATATCCGAAACTGCTGCACCGATTGTTAATGCTAACCAAAATTTTGCTAATCATCCCCACCAACAATTTGATGACGTCATTTCAAAGAATTGTATGTTTATTTGATTTAACTGTTATACAACAATATAGTCGTATACCTAAGTGTGGTGTGTGTGAATCCGAAGTTTTCCCTAGACGTCCAAATTTTTGCAAAAACACAATTCACACACACATGGTCTAGTGGTTACGAGTCAGGAATGCAGACCAGACGTCGCGCGTTCGATTCCAAATTTCGTCTTTCGTTTTTTTCCTCTCGCATTGTGTATTATCTATGTTTATGACGGCATAACAAATTTTTTATTGATGAAATTACCCCATTTTCTCAAAAAGGTGAGAATACGCCCCTCTTTATTTAAAAATGTAAAACCTTCTCGAGTTCTCGGGGGCCCCAACTGTCTTTTTTAAAAATGTAAAATCCTCTCGGGGGCCCCAAATCTCGTTTTTTAAGAATGTGAAACCTTCTCGATTCTTTTATTAATTACCGATTTATCGCCATCGGCTCAGGCGGCAAACGAAGCTGTCGCGCGGTAAAATCCCACTTACAGCAACTCGAATGTAAATAACTATAAATTTGGAAGAAAATAAGCAAATACACGTCATTTTCCACCACGTGATGCATGGAATTGCCCATATAAAAGATAAGAATATTTCGTATAAATACTGATTCCCTTGTTTTCTGAATACAGATCTGTGATAGTAGGCTCCGTAGTAGGCAGTTAATACCATAATAGTAACTGAAACGACATAACTTTAATTGGAAATTTCAATTGTATAAGGATTATTTTTTACAGTGATTAAACATGGCAACGGTAAGTTGTTCATTATGGATCTATTTCGTAATACACTGTTTTCAATTATATCTGCAGGCTGGGAAAGGAACAAGTGTCGAAGACCGGGGCGAAATACCTCAAAATTCTTCATCGGTAAGTTAGATACATAATTATGTTAATTTATTGTTTAAAATTCAATCAGCATATTGTACATCATTAGGTATCATCTATCACAACACAACAATTTTTTTACTGCTTTTATTTATTTTTGTAAAAAAAGTATAAGAATATAAATAGGACGTAAACGAGATTTACAAAAGGAAAAAAGAGTAATAATTATTAAATATGTTTATACACTCTGACTTAAAACGTGAAATCCAAAGAAATCTGCTATTTGTTCTGTGCAGCTGTGTCTTAAAAGTCGGATAATTTCTCAATAATTTGGTCTGGAAGTTTTAAGTATGTCCTTACAAACAATGAGCCCATTGAATACTCTAAAAACAAATGTGAAGTTTGCCTTAAGCCTCCTACTTTCCAGTAAATTTCTAATTTCTTAACATCTTCCAGGCACAAGTGCGAAAAAAGTATTTTTCTCCAGCCGTCTTAAAACATGACACTTTTAATGACAATGTCAACACTAAAAGTAGACGTTTTTGTAATGAGGAAATAAAACTTGCGTTACTAAGGCAACATTCACTTTTAATCCTAGGATTTAAAAGGCTTTTAAATGCTAGGATTAAAAACAAATAATAAATAATCTCAAACTATATTTTTTCGTCAATTTTGAAAATATTAATAATGTTGTCTTTAACATTTTATAATTTTATAAATAATTAAATAGATTACATAATTTCTAAATTTTAAAATTTATATTAAATATAAAATTAGAACAACTTTCAGAAAACTGGATTAACGATTTGGCGTCACTATTATCCCTTGTAATAACAGTGTTGACAATATTTGTAGGTTTGAATAATAGTGGTCCACGATGACAACCCTGTGGAATTCCTGAATTCACAGATTTAGACCTGGTTTATAGAAACCGAAGTTAAAGTTAATTCGCGATTAACTTTTAATTGAGGTTCGTTGCTAGGCGACGTGCAGGTTTTAACCAATCACGAGTTCCCTTTCTACATTTTAATCCAGTGTTAAATTAATCGAGGATTAAATATTTAACTCGCGTTTCTATAAACCGGCCCTTAGTGTTAGAAATACAACCACTTATTTTTACGTTTTTACGAAGTGACTGCTAACAAAACCTTTCAAGAAATTATCGTAAGTAGAATCAACTTGAATTCCGTCTTCTATACGGTTAATAATAAAATTCTGATCGATCATTAATTTGATCATTTGTGGATTGTGATACTGTAGATAGATTGTAACAAGTTTGAAAACCTATTATAGCTGTAACATTGAGTAGGTACGCACAATTTATTTATTAAAATATTAGTTACAACTCACAGTACATTAGTTACATGCACGTACATGTTTTGACAATCTTTAAGATTGATGGTTTTACGTCTACCGATATCGACATACTTTCTGCAAATATGGTAGCCCCCACTGCCAAATCTGTAGTTGTAGACGAAAATTCTTTAATTTTTATCTTACAATCGTAAGTTAAGGAAGAGATTTTTCATGTTCCCTCGAGGTTGAATTACCCCTAGAGTATGAAATAATAAAGCTTCCGTTTTCATCTGTATATCGTCTGTCTATAATATACCCGCTTGCTATGGTGAAACACAAAAGACTTCTCATATACAGAGTATTTACAAAAATAACTATTTTGGTACAATTTTCAAATATCGATATTTCCGGTTTTTTCAAATAGAACACTATGTATTTGTTAATGTATATCAATAATATTTCAAAGTGGTTGTCACCATGGAGGAAAGAATAAAATATATTCATACGTCTATTGTTGTGACGCAATATTTTAATAAACATTCTTTTCAGAAATTTAAGAAGAGAGGTGGTACCACTGATGCAGGCAGAGACTACGAACATCTCTACATAGCGAACTTAATTTTAAAATTAATAAATGACGGTAACGTACAAAATTTTTATTTGTCGTCGAACGATAGCGCATATGGTTCTTTCGATGACGTTGTAGTTGAAATTATATTCAAAGATCGCACCGAAACGTTTGCTATCCAGTTGAAACACGTCAGCAGAACAGGAGGAATGCAAATTGAGCAGTTAAATGCATCGAGTGGAAACTTTAGCGTCGAGAAGTATTACAAAGGCTTTAAAAAGGAGCCGAAGTTGTCTGAACGTCCTACCAAGATGGTTTTGTTTACCAATTCTAAGCTAAACGATGAACACATAGATCGGTTTAAATTTGGCACATTGACGCCATGTAAACAAGACGGTTTGCTAAGCACTCGTAATTCAGAGTTGGGAGGAGAGTGTTACAGATTCGAAGAAAACGAAGATAAATTCGAAGAATATGGATCTTTTTTTAAAAATTTGTATCTCTATACTGGTCAAACAGATGCCAAAGAACTGGAAACGTGTACATTTGAGATGTTCAAGGCGTATTTCGGAAGCAACGAAACAGTTTTCCGGGAATATCTACATTTTATAACCCATTGGAGCATGAAGGAAGGAAACAAGTTTAAGTTAAATAAAATGTGGATGAAATACATGATAAGCCTTTGTGTATTTTCATCTTCTATCAAACCATTATCTTTTGCTGCCGGTAGAACAGTGAACGCCAAAAGAAAAATTTTTAAAGAAGCTGTTTCAAAATTTGATTTGACTCTTATAAATAAACACAATTTCGAGAAAATCGCCCCAGTTTGGTCAAATGCTGTCGACGATATAGATGATATGGCAGAAACGATTAAAGTGAATTACAAGTACCAACTTATCAATAACGGAATAGAAACAAAAGATAGTCTTTATGATAAAGACCCAACAAAAGTATCGAAGCTCATGTGGTTGCTGGGAAAAAGTCCGTTAGTCGTTGAAGGATGCCCACAAGTATATCAAACAATAAAAATATGTCAAGTTCAGAATCTAATTATACTAGATAATCAAGAAACGTTTAATGAGTGTGTTGGAAAAAGTAAAACTGACCCACGTCACGACAGTACAGATGGTCAACAAAAACTATACTTGTTTGGAAAATTATCTGACTTAAAAAAACACGTGCAGTTGTATGAAGAAATCCTTAAGAATTTTACATATTCATTGCAAGGTCAAAAAGATGTTGCAATGAAGTATTTACTAGAAATCTGCCAAGATAGCGGCAACTTTATCAGTACAGATGATTTAGTTGAAATGACGGAAGCTCCATTACTGATTGGAAAATACAAAGATGTTTTGCCGCCCAGTCATGTCGAAAGAAAATTGGCAAAAGTTTTAATAGAAGTAAAATTTTTGCAAAATATTAATGAAAATACGATTGTTTTAGTAGATTGCGCAACAGATGTCAATTCTTTCAAACAGTTTTTACCAAATTTAGTAATCAGCGAAGTAAATGACGTTGTGATATTCAGCCCGCAGTTCATGATCGAAAGATATATGTTTTTTGGAAAAGAAGTTTCACAGGAGGAATTTTCTGCATTGTGTAAAAAAAAATCTGAAGTTCATTTCCATCACTTCAGATATTTGGACAATCATCGCCTGGAGTGGTTGGAAAGTGGGAATTATGGCCCGGAACAAAAATTTATCAACGAACTTAAGACGTTTCGTCTACAAAGTGAATTTACAGTGTACACTATAGGCGAGGGCCAATACTTTAATCATTCTCGACAAAATATCAACATTATTTGCGCCGATGCTGGAATGGGAAAAAGCACATTAGCGAAGAGTTTAAAAAACAGTAGTAAGTCGACATACTGGATCATTATAATCTACGCCAGAAACCACGCCTTACACTTCAGGAAGCAGGGATCAAACCTGGAAAATTTTTTAAAATACGTTTTAGAAGATACTTCACGGGAATGCCGGAACCAATTTCATCAGAGAGTGTTTGAAAAAATGCTGGAACAAAATCAAATACAACTCATATGGGATGGACTCGATGAAGCAACTGATACCACTCAAATTTCCATTTTAACTTTAGTAAATGTGTTTTCGGAAAAAGGAGTGAAACAATGGTTGACTTCTCGAACCAACTTAAAGGATATCTTGGAAAACGAGTTAGGTACGTTTGCAAGAAATATACAACAATTTAGTGAAGACGAACAAAAAGAATATATTAAAAACCGTCTACAGATTGCCGATAAAGAGTTAAATGACACTTTTAATAAAATAAAAAAAAATGTAATGTCTTTTCCAAATTATGAAATTTTAGGCATTGCTCTACAAATTTATATGCTTACTGAATTATTTTTAAAAGACAAAGACAAATACCTACCTTTGTTAGACGGTATTTTCACTGTTCTTGATTTATATGAACATTTCATTGATGAAAAATTTCATGTTTTATACAACGACAAAAACGAAATAACATTAAGGAACGAACAAAATATCCAAAATTTCGAAACCGAAAAGAACGCTAGAATGAATCACTATAAAAGTTTAGCTGCAACTTATTACCTTTATAACTCTTTAACATACAAAATTGTAAATAAATTATTCTCTAACGACAAGACGACTGACAGATTTGTAAAAAAAATTAAAAACGAAGGAGATGATGTGGGATTTATAAGTCGCGTTATTTCTAAATATGATGTTGAATTCATTCACAATTCGTATGGTGAATATTTTGCAGCGTTATATCTATTCGAACACAAACCATCTAAAGTACGCGACAGAAAATTTATTTCTAAAACCAGGTGTAAAAATATTCGATTTTTTTTAGATTTAATGTTAGCGAGAAATTCGAAATATTTAGTAGGAGTTATATATAAGAACCTTACAATTCTAGAAGAATGTATACATGCAGATTTACGTCAAAAAGACGTTATTGGTCGTGACGTTTTGGAAGTGGCTTGTGCCTGGAATAAAAGTTATCGACTTGTTGAAAACAATATTATTTTGAATGACAAAAGTTTCAACACTGAATGGTTAATCAATAACAAAGACAAAGTCGTTGGAACTCTAAATTATCGCGATATAGCACCAAAATTTTATAAATTCAGTTCAACGGGTCATGTGTGTTTTAAAAAGTTGATGATTTTCTTACCATTTTTGATTCCATTATATGACGGGAATGAGTTCGATGAAGAATATTTAGTGGCAGTTTTATATTATGCAATTAGATTTGATTGTCCAACAATTTATGAGTGCATTGAAAATTCCGTTCCCTTAAAAACCACATACAATAATATTCGTTCAAGAAGCATTTTAGCCTTAGCCCTTTTTAACAGGTCAGCGAAAATATTAAAAAAAGTACTTTCCGAACAACGAAATCATTCCGAGTGGGACTGCGTAGAAGAACTTTTAATTCTGGATTCGGAAATTGACGAAATATTGAGTTTTGCTTTACAATTCCCGGAGTTTAGAATAGATGTGCCAAATTCGAAAGGTCAGTCGTTGGCGCATTATGCATTGGAAAAAAATCTAACCAAGACGTTACGTTCATTAATTCTCAGAGAAGTGAACACGAATTATAAGGACAGAAACGGAAAACGTCCCATACATATTGCACTTGAAAAGGGGCATCTAGATTTTTTCAAACACATTGCGCAAATTGACGTTTTGGATAAAGACGGTCGGTTACCGCTTCATTACGCTTGTGAGGATGGAGATTTAGGTATAATAGAAATATTGTTAGCGAATGGTGCTAAAGTTGACGTTCCGGATGGAAATCGCCAGCTGCCGATTCATTATGCACTGCGAAAATGGCATACAGTTATTATAGACGTACTAATAAGGAATGGCGCGAAAGTGGATGTTCCGGATGCAAGTGGACGTCTGCCGATACATTATGCTTGTGAACACGGAAGCTTAACCATGGTAGAATTCATGGCAAAAAAAGGAGCCACATTTGATGCTCCGGACAGAGGTGGTCAGCTAGCGTTGCACTATGCGTGTAGAAATGACCGGTGGGGATACGAAATAATTTTATTTTTGTTTAAAAAAGGTGTGAAAGTGGATGTTCCGGATGGGAATGGACGGCTGCCGTTACATTATGCTTGTAAACATGGACATTTAGCTGTAGTTGAAATACTGCTAAAGAATGGTGCGCAAGTGGATGTTCCGGACGAAAATGGACGGTTGCCGATACATTATGCTTGTGACTATCAAGATTTAGCTGTAGATGAGATACCGCAAAACAACACTGCGAAAGTTAACCTTCCGGATGGAAATCACCAGCTGCCGACTCCTTATGCATTTAAAAAATGGCATAAAGCTATTATAGAAGTACTAATAAAGAATGGTGCGAAAGTGGATGTTCCGGACGGAAATGGACGGCTACCTATACATTATGCTTGTGAAAACGAAAGTTTAAAAACAGTAGAATTATTAGCAACTCATGGAGCGAAATTGGATGTTCCTGACGGAATTGGGCAACTGCCGATACATTGTGCATTTGAAAAATGGAATACCGATATTATAATAGTACTTGTAAAAAATGGTGCGAAAGTGGATGTTCCACATTTAAAAGGATGGCTGCCGATACATTATGCGTGTGAAAAGGGAAGATTAAACATGGTAGAATTACTGGCAATGAACGGAGCAAAATTTGTTGTTCCGGACACAGATGGTCAGCTACCGATGCACTATGCCTGTAGAAATGATCGGTGGGGATATGAAATAATTTTATTTTTGTTTAAAGAAGGTGTGAAAGTGGATGTTCCGGATAGAGATGGACGGCTGCCGATACATTATGCTTGTGAACACGGAAATTTAAACACGGTAGAATTACTGGCAACGAATGGAGCGAAATTTAATGTTCCGGACAAAGATGGTCAGTTACCGATGCATTATGCGTGCAGGAATCACCGGAAGGGATATGAAATAATTTTATTTTTGCTAGAAAAAGATGTGGAAGTGGATGTTCCGGGTGGAGATGAACGACTGCCGATCCATTACGCTTGTGAACACGGAAGCATAACCATGGTAGAATTACTAGCAACGAAAGGAGCCAAATTGGATCTTCCGGACAGAGGTGGTCAGCTACCGATGCACTATGCGTGTAGAAATAACAGATGGGGATATGAGATAATTTTATTTTTGTGTAAAAATGGTATGAAAGTGGATGTTTCGGATGGAGATGGACGACTGCCGATACATTATGCCTTTCAAAAATTTGATACTGATATTATAGCACTACTTGTAAAATATGGTGCCAAAGTGGATATTCCGGATGGAGATGGACGGTTGCCAATACATTATGCTTGTGAACGAGGAAGATTAAACATGGTAGAATTACTAGCAACGAATGGAGCGAAATTGAATATTCCGGATGGAAATGGACGACTGCCAATACATTATGCTTTTCAAAAATTTGATATAGATATTATAATACTATTGGTTAAGTATGGTGCGAAAGTGGATGTTCCGGATGGAGATGGACGGCTGCCGATACATTATGCTTGTGAAGACGGAAGCTTAACCATGGTAGAATTACTGGCAACGAATGGAGCGAAATATGATGTTCCGGACAGACGTGGTCAGCTACCGATACACTATGCGTGTAAAAATAACAGGTGGGGATATGAAATAATTTTATTTTTGTGTAAAAATGGTGTGAAAGTGGATGTTCCGGATGGCGATGGTCAACTGCCGATACATTATGCGTTTAAAAAATTTGATACAGATATTATAATACCACTGTTAAAAAATGGTGCGAAAGTGGATGTTCCGGATGAAAATGGACGGTTGCCGATGCATTATGCTTGTGAAAAAGGAAGACTAAGCATGATAAAATTACTAGCATTAAATGGAGCGAAATTTGATGTTCCGGACAGAAGTGGTCAGCTGCCGATGCACTATGCGAGCAGAAATCGTTGGTGGGGATATGAAATAATTTTATTTCTGTGTGGAAAGGGTGTGAAAGTGGATGTACCGGATGGAGATGGACGATTGCCGATGCACTATGCTTGTGAAAAAGGAAGGTTAAACATGGTAGAATTACTAGCAACGAATGGAGCGAAATTTGATGTTTCGGACAGAGGTGGTCAGCTACCAATGCACTATGCGAGCAGAAATCTTTGGGGGGGATATGAAATAATTTTATTTTTGTGTAAAAAAAGTGTGAAAGTGGATGTGCCGGATATAGATGGACGACTGCCGATACACTGTGCTTGTGCACAGGGAAGATTAAGCATTGTAGAATTACTGGGAACCAATGGGGCGAAATTTGATGTTCCGGACAGAGGTGGTCAGCTACCGATGCACTATGTGACCACAAATTTCTTGGAAGGATATCAAATAATTTTATTTTTGTGTAAAAAAGGTGTGAAAGTGGATGTTCCGGATGGAGATGGACGACTCCCAATACATTGTGCTTGTGAAGAGGGAAGATTAAGCATTGTAGAATTACTGGCAACGAATGGTGCGAAATATGATGTTCCGGACAGGGGTGGTCAGCTACCGATACATTATGCTTGCAGAAATTGCATTAATGGAGATGATATAATTTTCTTTTTGTGTAAAAAAGGTGTAAAAGTGGATGTTCCGGATGGAGATGGACGACTGCCGATACATTATGCTTGTGAACAGGGAAGCTTAACCATGGTAGAATTATTGGCAACGAATGGAGCGAAATTTGATATTCCGGACAGAAATGGTCAGCTACCGATGCACTATGCGACCAAAAATATCTTTCTAAGAGATCAAATAATTTTATTTTTGTGTAAAAAAGGTGTGAAGGTGGATGAACCGGATGGAGATGGACGACTGCCAATACATCATGCTTGTGAACACGGAAGCTTAACCATGGTAAAATTACTGGCAACAAATGGAGCGAAATTTAATGTTCCGGACAGAGGTGGTCAGCTACCGATCCACTCTGCTTGTAGAAATCGTTGGCGGGGATATGAAATAACTTTCTTTTTGTGTAAAAGTGGTGTGAAAGTCGATGTTCTGGATAGGGATGGACGACTGCCGATACATCATGTTTGTGAACGCGGATCTTTACACATGGTACAATTGCTTGCAACCAATGGAACGAAATTTGATGTTCCGGACAAATGTGGTCAGCTACCGATGCACTATGCGTGTAGAAATGGCCAGTCTGGATATAAAATAATTTTATTTTTGTGTAAAAATGGTGTGAAAGTGGATGTTCCGGATGGGGATGGACGGTTGCCGATACATTATGCTTGTGAACACGGAAGTTTAACCATGGTAGAATTACTAGCAACGAAAAAGGCCAAATTTGATGTTCCGGACAGAGGTGGTCAGCTACCGATGCACTATGCGTGTAGAAATAACCTGTGGGGATATGAAATAATTTTATTTTTGTTTAAAAAATGTATGAAAGTGGATATTCCGGATGGAGATGGACGACTACCGATACATTATGCTTGTGAAAATGGAAGATTAACCATGGTAGAATTACTGGCAACGAATGGAGCGAAATTGGATGTTCCGGATAGAGGTGGTCAGCTACCGATTCACTATGCGATCCGAAATATCTTGTACGGACATGTAATAATTTTATTTTTGTGTAAAAAAGGTGTGGAGGTGGATGTTCCCGATGAAAATGGACGACTGCCCATACATTATGCTTGTAAACAGAGATGGGTAGATATGATAAAATTACTGGCAACGGTTAATGCTCTTGACAGAGGTGGTCAGCTACCGGTGCAAAATCCAAGAAGAAATCACTGGGGAGGATATGAAAAAATTATATTTTTGTGTAAAAATGGTGCGAAACTGGATGTTAGGGATGAAGATGGACGATTACCGATACATTACGCTTGTGAACACGGGGACTTAAACACGGTAGAATTACTGGTAAAAATGATGAATACAGTGAAATTAGATGTTCCAGATAGAAGTGGTCAGCTACCGATGCATTACGCGTGCAGAAATGGCAGGAAGGCATATGACATAATTTTATTTTTGTGTAAAAAAGGTGCGAAAGTGGATGTTCCGGAGGAAGATGGACGGCTGCCGATACATTATGCTTGTGAACACGGAAAGTTAAACACGGTAGAATTGCTGGCAACGAAAGGAGCGAAATTTGACGTTCCAGACAGTGGAGGTCAGCTACCGATGCACTATGCGAGCAGAAATCGCTGCGGGGGATATGAAATAATTTCATTTTTGTGTAAAAATGGAGCGAAAGTGGATGTTCTCGATGGAGATGGACGGCTGCCGATACATTATGCTTGTGAAAGCGGAAATTTGGAGATGATAAAATTACTGGCAACGAATGGGGCGGCATTTGATGTTCCGGACAAATGTGATCAGCTACCGATACACTATGCATGCAGGAATCGGTGGGAGGGATATAAAATAATTTTCTTTTTGTGTAAAAAAGGTGCGGAAGTGAATGTTCCGGATGGAGATAGACGTTTGCCGATACACCACGCTTGTGAACACGGAACTTTAGATATTGTAAAATTATTGGCGTCGAATGGTGCGAAAGTGTATGTTCCGGATCAAAGTGGTAAACTGCCGATAGACTATGCCCGTAAAAATCGAAATTTTGATAGTGAAATAAGAATATTTCTGTTAAAATGCATGAAACGTAAAATAGCCCACGAAACTTAATATGGACAATGGTCAGTTAGCGATTTAAAGACGTCGTGTAGTTCCAGTAGCAACTTTTATTGCGTTCATTTGACTTGTTTATATTAAATTCAGTCAATGACTACTATTTTATAGTTACTAATCTTTTTCATTTACTAGTGCCACTTCTATGCGCGTTTAAATAAGACGTAAAACTTTTAAATCATAATACACTTGCTACAATATTTTCTTCTTTTATGCCCTATAATCGAAACAGACAGCTTCGAAATATAGGGAGCAAACTGGTTAGAAGAATTACTAACTATATGTTCATTTAATCAAAGTTTTCTAAAAATATTAGCAAAAACAAAATTATAGTCCAAAATCTAAAAACAATTGTTGCATTTCAGTTCCTGTGTGATTTTTAATGAAATATATTAGGACTAAATTATCAAAATATGTTAAAAGTAAAAATGTTGTATGTGAAATATTTGCTAAAATGCCATTAAACATACGATTTCTTTTAAACGACATCACTTTGAACATCATAAAGAAACAATTAAGAAAACTAGTTTACATGCTAAAGGAATATTTTTAGTTTAAACCATTGAATTCGTAATTTTTTTAAGATGTATCACGATTATTGTAGTGCATCGTAGTATAAAGCACGTTAACCGACCAACGAAAATGGGCATATAGATCAGAATTAAATTTCGTTATCACGTTTTTAAGTATGAGTTATACTAAAAAAAACACACAATAAAACAATATACATCATAGAAGTTATTAATATTCAAATCTAGTTCTAAAAATTTGTAGAGGAATGACCAAATATTTCAACGGTTTGCGTAGTTATGTTTATGTAGGATCTAATTATTTTTAAGAGTTTAAATGTCGTCTAATCAATTTATATGTTTTACATATCAGTTGTATATTTTTTGTATAATTGGCCTCGTTCGATGTTGACACGGTTAAGTTTATTTATATATATTATTTATGTATTATGAACATTGAAATTATCGATTGTCTAGGTAATTAAAAACCTACTCGAGGCTGCCTCTTACTTTATTGTTTGTTTTTCGTATGTCGTAGTATTTGCTATTGTGTTCAAGACACTTGTCATTAACTCAGTCTAAAGGTTATTAATTCACTACAGTCAATGTGACAACGGAGGACAGCTTTCAAGATTCATTTCAAAGCTGGTGACATAACACTCTTGACGAGATTTTTATTTAGACACCCAATGTTTGACAACAAAGGTAAAATACAGGGTGTTTTGTAACAAAACCATGTGTTTATTACATCAAGATGTGTATATTAATAACTAATCTATGGAAATAAAGGCGATATTTGTTTGTGTTGATCATTGTTACATACTGATGCCACGTTTCTTGAAGAGACCTGCAAATCCACGAATCGCTACCTTAAGCTCTCCTTACTTCCAGGCTCGATGGACCCCTAATCCCTTCCTCTTCACTCGCCGACTATTTACTAAGATTTGATGGTTTTCTTGGTAATTTCGGGCCCGTTGGGTGCCGGAAACGCAACAAAACACAAGAGAAAGTAACATTTCTAAATTTTTGGCCTTTTTTGGCTGAGAAAGCACGGTCCTTCAAACCTATTTGTAACTTTTCGCTTTTCCAAAAGCGAACTACACTTTTTTGACAGCCCTCGCATAAAATTAATAAAAGATGTTACATTCATTTTCTTGCATTTTCGCTCAAGGTCATTTTCACTCTTGGGGTTTCACCACTTTACAAGTGAACGAATTCCGCCATTTGAAAACACAACATAGGTCATGGTCACATTTTAAATTTTCGCGGGTTTCGATGTTGATGGCATGTTCAAGTTATCATGCTGTTGTCATTCACTTTTGTCATCTTGTGGAGAAATTAAATGCCGTTAAAGAAACTTCATCAGTTATGCTAAATCATATTTGTGGTCGTGTGAGATTTTCAAGAAAATTTTATATATTTTCATATTTAATAGATGTAAAGCTAGTTGTATACCCAAGTAACAAAAATTTTAAGAAATGTAACAAAATGAAGGTCTGTGTTAAACAAAAGGACAAAAAACAAACATCACCACTTTTATTTTTGAAACCTTTTGTTGCTGATTTTCAGCAATGGCCTCTACGGTAGGTACTTTCAAATTCAGGATATCCTAACAGTAATTTAAAAAATAAGGAATAGATGCATTTAAAAAATGACGTAATCACAAATATTTTATATTTAAAAATAAAGTCTTATCTAGTCTCTTTGTTTTTTGATATTGTAAATAACAGTGAAAATAAGCAAATATTGTTGTACAAAAATCTCTTCCTTGTTTTTTTGGGAGCAGTATATAAAATAAGATCACCAGATTTTCAAAATTGGGTGATTAATCAGCTTCACTCGGCTTGTTTGGTAGTATTAGATCAGATTAAAACAGATAAATACGCGTATAGTATGCATTTTGAAGTACACGCGCTAATTAAAAATACACATTAAAAAAGAAATTCCATAAGCAGTTTTTGTTTTAAACACTGATGAGTGACATGTAGAGATTAAAGAATAGAAAACTGGAATGATTGTTTGACATTTATTACAATCTCATTTGTTACGCAAGTTCTCTCTCTGTCGTTCTTTTTTTTTCCTAGTTCTCTCTCTCAACTCTAGAAAAAGATGCTTGACAACATAACGTCAATTCAACGCACTTTCGTGTGCCTTTTATGCGCTCACTGTTTAGTTTTCCGTAAATTGTCTCACCTCAGAAGGTGAATTTTAACGTCCTCTATACAGTGGAGTATGTTTCGGTACGTACAATTGAAGATAAAAATGTACGTCAAACGTACTGTCTCAGACTGTCACCCAAACTTCTCTTATAAAACAATCTCGTGTTCGTGTAGTGTCATCTGATGTTGCCTAGCAACAAATATAATTCACTGCCTGAAAATTGCTGAAAATGTATGAAGCTGTAATTTTCAGAAGTTAAAACTACGATCAATCGATTTCTTGACCCAAAAAACCCCCAACCTGTAAATTTCATCGAAATCGTTAGAGCCGTTTTCGGGAAACCCATTATATATTTATATATACAAACTTCGCTCGTTTAATAGTATAAGATTCCTGCTTTGGCAAAGTTGAACCAAAAATGTGTGGTGGTTTTAGGCACCACCCACTTTTTCTAGTAAAAAAAGTGAAATGCATGAATGGCTCTTTAAACATAGTGTTGAATTTGACAAAAAATTTTCGATGAAACAGTTGTAGGAGTTAAATAAACCCTTCAGAAACAATAGAAAAAAAGATATTTGATAGACGAGACATTAAGAGAAAGTGGCCATGATGTTCTTAGACTACCTCCATATCATTGTCAATATAATCCAATTGAAATGGCATGGGGATTTTGTAAGAACTATTACAACAAGCATATAAATTCTCAACTTTCATTAAAAAATAGGGTGGAGAATTTATGGCATATGCTTCTCCTACGATTTAATAAAAGATAAGTTGCACAAATTAGATATTACCAAATCTCCTGGTCCTGACGTTATTAGTTCAAAAATTTTAAAAGTGTGTGCTAGTTCTCTTGCTCACCCGCTTGACGAACCAATCATTTCGGTCTGATACCATTACTCCGGCGAACTATAGGCCTATAAGTTTCACTTCAGTTGTAGTCAAACTAATGGAATGTATCATCTACGATCAGTTTAATCTGTTGCTTAGACAACTGGACCAGAGTACTCGATTCTGGTGGCTCAGTGGATATCGCATATTTTTATTTTTATTTTTCGAAGGTCTTCGATCGGGTGCCGACACGCCGGCTCTTTTTGAAATTATGAGATTATGGAATCCAAGATAGTCTTCTCAGGTGGATTGAATTTTTTATTTCTGACCGAACATTTAAGATTAAGGTTGGTGATATGTTTAGTTCTTCTATTCCAGTTTTGAGCGGTGTATCACAGGGCTCTGTATTAGGACCCCCGTTATTTTTAACGTATGTATCAGATATAAAAGACTACTTAATTTCTTCTTGGGCAATGTATGCTGACGATTTAAAAATCTACAATTATGTATTTGTTCCAATTATGAAATCTTAACGAAGGATATAGCAACTATTTATAGATAGTCACTAAAATGATTACTTCCAGTTAAAACGGACAAGTGTAATATCCTTTATTTAGGCAGCGACAATGCGAAGCAAACTTATTAATATATCAACGACATTGAGCTTACCAAGTGTGATTCTTTGAACGTCTACTCTGACGTGGTCTGAATATTTCGCAGAAGTCATGAAAAAAGCCAACAAGCTACTATATCTTCTCGGAAACACATTTGCTAAAGCTGATGTAACTACTGTAACTAAACTGTATAAAACTTATGTTAGACCGATATTAGAATATGCTAACTGCGTTTGGGTTCCAACATTACAACGTAATATTAATTTACTAGAATCTGTCCAGCGTCGTGCCACAAGAATGCCGTATGGACAAGTGCTCCCCTCTTACCCTGACAAATTTAATCTTATGAAATTGCCATCATTAGTCGACTGGCGTGTAAGAGGTGACATGTTGACGACATTTCAGGCTTTTACAAATTCCATTCGACAGACGTTCGTTACTAACAGGGTGTTCACCGAATGGAATGCATTACCCCTGAAGTTGTCGAAAGTGCGTCCGTTCCTAAATTTTGAGGTCAACTACGACACCTATCGAAACCGTAGGTAGTTGTATATCCATAATTAGTAATGCCAACTGTCGTCTTGCGCGGACATAACAGACTTCGGTCTCTCCCCGAACGCGTCATTTTAATAATAATAATAATAATAATTTGTAATATGGATCTATAATCTTGTTTTTGAAACAACGAGACCTGCTGTAGCTGAGAAAATTCGGTCTCTCTCTTTTCGCTTCTTCAAAGAGAAACTACATTTTTTCGTGTATGATAATAAAAATAGATACATTTTCTAGGACTGAATATCTTCTTCTGGTAACTTCTATGTAGGCTGCAACTTGTTCCTTCCAAACCTATAATGATTCTCGCCATCTTTTGGGCTGTTTTTCCGTGGAATTTTTTCCCATTGGTGATTGCTCCCTAGTACTAGGTACCTTTACAATTCTATCTTCTCCCATTGGTCATCCAAAAAATACTCGTTAAACATTATATGGGTAATTCCAACTGTGACAATCGGACGAATGAAACGGCAGGTAAAATGTAGGGTACAACGCAACATATTATTATTTATGCAAACACTTAAAGTTAAAGTATGCGGATACGTTAGAGAGAAAACAATTAATTTGTGGTCTCAAATTCAGTTTTGTACCAGTCACACCACGTATTAAGTTTTGTGTATCTAACCTAAGACCACACTTTAAAAGTTTTTAAATAAATAATATGTTGCAATTTGCCATGTAATCCACATTTTAACTATTGTTTCTATTTATGTATGTCCTGAATTTAGAAGAAAATAAACAAATTTCGCCATTTTTTCGCATTCATGATGTATGGAAATATCCTAATAAAAGATAACATTATTTCGTATGAATAAATATTTACGCCCGTGTTTTCTGAGTATCTTCAAAGTAGGTTCCAAATAATTCATTTAATACCATAACAGCAATTGAAACAGCATGACTTTAATTGCAAATTTTAATTATATGACGAATATTTTTTATAGTAATTAAACATGGCAACGGTAAGTTCCTCATTATGGATCTATTTTGTAACATACTATTTTCAATTATATCTGCAGGCTGCGAAAGGAAGAAATGTTGAAGACCGGAGCGAAATACCTCAAAATTGTTCATCGGTAAGTTAAATACATATCTTAATTTATCGTTTAATTCGATCAATCAAACAAATTTATTTTCTCTGTGTTTATTCCATTTTGCAAAAAAATGAATTCTATTATAAACGAAAAATTAAAACACAGGTAGATTTATATCTGTTTGTTGATAGTGGACCTACTTTGTGAAAAAGGACAACACAGATACAACAAAATCTAGCTTTTGTGAAAAATTCTAAAATGTAGTTCTACGAATTTGATGTTTTTTCGATAACCTCTATAAGTTAAAATAAAGTTGTACGTATAGTTAAAGCAGAAGTAAAGAGGCATGCTACGCGTACATTTCAAATGAGTTTTAGCATTACAAAATTTTGCGATGACGTCATCAACATATTAGCAAGGACACGTATATCAATTTGTATTCCCAAATTTTTTGGAAAATGTGGTGAGCCCTTCTTGATTTGATCAATAAAATAAACTTCTTCGTTCATTATGATTTTAAGTCGCTCTGTATAAGTAATTGAGACTAATTCATCGACTCATCGATATCTTTATTTTGCGTTATAGGGGTTGTCATATAAAAACTAAGATTCGCTAAATCAGATGTTTTAATTAATCCAAACTGATTAATTTGTTTGATTGTTCTTCAGAAACAGAGGAAGTTCTGGTTAAATAACTTCAGGTTTTTTTTTAATTCAGTTATTACTTTAACATCTACTGCCTTGCAGATCATACATGAAAATGCTGTCAATACAACCGACTCGTTGCAGGATTCTTCTGAAGTAAGTCAGAAATAAATATTAATTAATTAAGTTTTATGCAAGCATTTATTGATAATTATTATTTATTACAAAAGGTTATCACAACCCTTAATAAGGTATTAATTTTTTGCAAGCAACTACAATTAACTAATATACAAAAGAAAGAAAAAGCACATTAATATAATTAAATATGTCGTAGCTTATCGCTTAAAACGTGAAATAAAATCCCAGAAAAATCTAATTGGATGTAATAATTATAAACAATCTAAAAACAAATGTGAAATCTGTGCGAAGTCTCTTAATTTTCAATGAATTTCTAATTTTTTGATATGTAGATAGACGTATGTAGATGTGTGACAAATGATTGAATTGTAGAAGTCTCCAAAAGAAGTCTAAGTAAATAAAAATAAATAAGTTTATTTGAATGATAGGAAAAATGTGACAATATTGTCTATTTACAGGACCTAAAATTTGTGCTGCGTTACTAAAAACGTATTGTATATGTGGAACAAAGCTCTAACATCCAAAAAAAGTGGTCTCCCGTTTCGGTTTGTCTGTCTATCTGGTGTCTGTACAATTTTCAAATATCGACGTCTTTCTAGCACTCTGCATTTGTTACTATATGTCAATAATATTTCATAGTGATTGTCACCATGCAGGAAAGAATATAATATATTCATTCGTCCATGGTTGTCACGCATTAGGCAATGATCAGTGTGCCTCACCCTCACATGCTTTTTTTATAAAAATTTGTAAAAATAAGCAAATTCAAACCGACGAAGATTACACCACGCGTATTTCTGACAAGTCAGTAGAAAACAAAGAATTTCAAAGGTACTGTGCTTGAAGTACTACCAACTTTATTTAGAATTTTTACAGACACTTGCGACGACAACCATTATGGATTAACTAATATGTTGTGTTTTTTTTTTTAAATTGGAACTCTTGTTTTATTAAACATTTTTTTCAGAAATTTAAGAAGAGAAGTGGTACGACAGACGTAGGCAAAGACTACGAACATCTCTACATAGCGAACTTAATTTTAAAATTAATAGTTAATGGTGACGTAGAAGATTTTTATTTATCGTCAAACGATAGTGCATATGGTTCCTTCGATGACGTTGTAGTTGAAATTAAATACAAACATCGCACCGAAATATTTGCTATTCAGTTGAAACACGTCAGCAGAACAGGAGGAATACAAATTGAGCAGTTAAATGCATCGAGTGGAAACTTTAGCATCGAGAAGTATTATAAAGGCTTCAAAAAAGAGCCGAAGTTTTCTGAACGTCCTACCAAGATGGTTTTGTTTACCAATTCTAAGCTAAACGATGAACACATAGATCGGTTTAAATTTGGCAAATTGACTCCATGTAAGCAAGACGGTTTGCTAAGCACTCGAATTTCCGAGTTGGGAGGACAGTGTTACAAATTCGAAGAAAAAGAAGATAAATTCAAAGAATATGGAACTTTTTTTAAAGATTTGTATCTCTATACTGGTCAAACAGATGCCAAAGAACTGGAAACGTGTACACTTGAGATGTTCAAGGTATATTTCAAAAGCAACGAAACCGTTTTCCGGGAGTACCTACATTTTATAACCCACTGGAGTGCGAAGGAAGGAATCAAATTCAAGTTAAATAAAACATGGATGAAAAACATGATAAGCCTTTGTGTATTTTCATCTTCTATCAAACCATTATCTTTTGTTGCCGGTGGAACAGTGAACTCCAAAAGAAAAATTTTTAAAGAAGCTGTTTCGAAATTTGACTTGACTCATATAAATAAAAACAATTTCAAGAAAATCGCCTCAGTTTGGTCAAATGCTGTCGACGATATAGATGATATGCAAGAAGTAATTAAAGTTAATCACAGGTACCAACTTATCGAAAACGGAATAGCAACAAAAGATAGTCTTTATGATAAAGACCCAACAAAAGTATCGAAGCTCATGTGGTTGCTGGGAAAAAGTCCGTTAGTCGTTGCAGGATGCCCAAAAGTTTATCAAGCAGTCGAAGTATGCCATGCTAAAAATCTAATTATACTAAATAACCGAAAAACTTTTAATGAGATGCCTAGTAATGATTCTGATCGAGACAGTACAGGTGGCCAAAAAAATCTACACGTGTTTCAAAAGTTCTCTGACTTAAAAAAACACATACAATTGTATCAAGAAATTCTAACGAGTTTTACATATTCATTGCAAGGTCAACAAGATGTTGCATTGAAATATTAGCTAGAAATCTACGAAGATAGTGACACTTTCATCACTACAGATGATTTAGTTGAAATGATGGAAGCTCCATTGGTGATTGGAAAATACAAAGATGTTCTGCCGCCCAGTCATGTCGAAAGAAAATTGACAAAAGTTTTAATAGATGTAAAATTTTTGGAAAATATTAGTGAAAATACAATTGCTTTAGTTGATTGCGTAACAGATGTGAAATCTTTCAAACAATTTTCACCAAATTTAATAGTCAGCAAAGTGAAAGATACTGAGATCATTCAGACAACAACTCATCTACAGAAGATCTGTGCTTGTGGAAAGGCAGTTTCACAGGAAAATTTTTCTTCATTGTGTAAAAAAAATCTAGAAATTCAGTTCCATCACTTCAGATATTTAGACAATCATCGTTTGGAATGGATGGAAAGTGGGAATTATGGCCTAGAACGAAAATGTATCAACGAACTTCAGAAGTTTCGTCTACAAAGTGAATTTATGGAGTACACTATAGGCGAGGGCCAGTACTTTAATCATTCTCGACAAAATATCAACATAATATGCGCCGATGCTGGAATGGGAAAAAGCACATTAGCGAAGAGTTTAAAAAAGAGTAGTAAGTCGACAAACTGGATCATTTTAATCTACACCAGAGACCACGCCTTACACTTCAAGAAGCATGGATCCAGCGTGAAGAATTTTTTAAAATACATCTTGGAAAATACTTTACTGGAATGCTGGAACCAATTCCACCACAGGGTGTTCCAAAAAATGATGGAAAATAACCAAATACAACTAATATGGGACGGACTCGATGAAGCATCTGATGACACTCAAATTTCCATTTTAACTTTAGTAAATGCGTTTTCGGAAAAAGGAGTAAAGCAATGGTTGACTTCTCGAATCAATTTGAGGGATATGTTGGAAAACATGTTAGGTACGTTTGCAAGAAATATAAAACAATTTACCGAAGACGAACAAAAACAATATATAAAAAACCGTTTACAGATAACCGATGATGGGTTAAATGAAACTTTTAATAAAATAAGAAAAAATATAATGTCTTTTCCAAATTATGAAATTTTAGGCATTCCTCTACAAATTTATATGCTTACTGAATTATTTTTAAAAGACAAAGACAAATACCTACCATTGTTAGAAGGTATTTTCACTGTTCTTGATCTATATGAACATTTTATTGATGAAAAATTTCATGTTTTATATAACGACAAAAACGAAATAATATTAAGGAACGAAAAAAATATCCAGAATTTCGAAAACGAAAAGAACGCTAGAATGAATCACTATAAAAGTTTAGCTGCAACTTATTACCTTTATAACTCTTTAACATACAAAATTGTAAACAAATTGTTCTCTAACGACAAGACGACTGACAGATTTGTAAAAAAAATTAAAAACGAAGGAGATGATGTAGGATTTATAAGTCGCGTTATTTCTAAATATGATGTTGAATTCATTCACAATTCGTACGGTGAATATTTTGCAGCATTATATCTATTCGAACACAAACCATCTAAAGTACGCGACAGAAAATTTATTTCTAAAACCAGGTATAAAAATATTCGATTTTTTTTAGATTTAATGTTAGCGAGAAATTCGAAATGTTTAGTAGGAGTTATATATAAGAACCTTACAATTCTAGAAGAATGTATACCTGATGATTTACGTCAAAAAGACGTTATTGGTCGTGACGTTTTGGAAGTGGCTTGTGCCTGGAATAAAAGTTATCGACTTGTTGAAAACAATATTATTTTGAATGACAAAAGTTTCAACACTGAATGGTTAATCAATAAAAAAGACAAAGTCGTTGGAACTCTAAATTATCGCAATATAGCACCAAAATTTTATAAATTCAGCTCAATGGGTCATGTGTGTTTTAAAAAGTTGATGATTTTCTTACCATTTTTGATTCCATTATATGACTGGAATCAGTTCGATGAAGAATATTTAGTGGCAGTTTTATATTATGCAATTAGATTTGATTGTCCAACAATTTATGAGTGCATTGAAAATTCCGTTTCCTTAAAAACCACATACAATAAGATTAAACATGGTAGAATTACTGGCAACGAATGGGGCGAATTTTAATATTCCGGACAAAGATGGTCAGTTACCGATCCACTATGCGTGCAGGAATTACCGGAAGGGATATGAAATAATTTTATTTTTGCTAGAAAACGGTGTGAAAGTGGATGTTCTGGATGGAGATGGACGGCTTCCGATACATTACGCATTTCAAAAATTTGATACAGATACTATAATATTACTGGTACAACATGGTACCAGAGTGGATGTTCCGGATGGAGATGGACGGCTGCCGATACATTATGCTTGTCAACACGGAAGTTTAAAATTGATTGAATTATTGGCAGTGAAAGGAGCCAAATTTGATGTTCCGGACAGAGGTGGTCAGCTACCGATACACTATGCATGCAGAAATTTCTCGGAGGGATATGAAATAATTTTATTTTTGTGTAAAAAAGGTGTGAAAGTGGATGTTCCGGATGGAGATGGACGACTACCGATACATTATGCTTGTGAACAAGGAAGGCTAAAAATGGTAAACTTACTAGAAGCGAATGGAGCGAAATTTGATGTTCCGGACAGAGGTGGTCAGCCACTAATGCACTTTGCGTGCAGAAATTTCTGGGAGGGATATGAAATAATTTTATTTTTGTGTAAAGAAGATATAAAATTAGATGTTTCGGATGGAGATGGACGATTACCGACACATTATGCATGTGAACACGGAAGCTTAACCATGGTAGAATTACTGGCAACGAATGGAGCGAAATTTGATGTTCCAGACAGTGGTGGTCAGCTACCGATGCACTTTGCGTGCAGAAATTTCTCGGAGGGATACGAAATAATTGTATATTTGTGTACAAAAGGTGTGAAAGTGGATGTTCCGGATGGAGATGGACGACTGCCGATTCATTACGCTTGTGAACAAGGAAGGCTAAGCATGGTACAATTACTGGCAACGAATGGAGCGAAATTTGATGTTCCGGACAGCGGTGGTCGACTACCGATGCACTATGCGTGTAGAAATGACCAGTGTGGATATGAAATCATTTTATTTTTGTGTAAAAATGGTGAGAAAGTGGATGTTCCGGATGGGGATGGACGATTGCCGATACATTATGCTTGTGAACACGGACGCTTAACCACGGTAGAATTACTGGCAACGAAAGGAGCTAAATTTGATGTTCCGGACAGAGGTGGTCAGCTACCGATCCACTGTGCGTGTAGAAATAACCGGTGGGGATATGAAATAACCCTATATTTGTGTAAAAAGGGTGTGAAAGCTGATATTCCGGATGGAGATGGACGATTACATTATGCTTTTAAAAGACGAAGATTAAACATAATCGAATTACGGGCAACGAATGAAACGAAATTTGATGTTGTGGGCAGAGGTGGTCAGCTACCGATGCACTATGCGAGCAGAAATCTCCGGACGGGACATCTAAAAACTTTATTTTTGTATAAAAAGTGTGTGGAAGTGAATGTTCTGGATCAAAATGGACGATTGCCAATACATTATGCTTGTGAACAGGGATGGTTGGATATGGTAGAATTACTGGCAACGAATGGAGGGAAATTAGATATTCCGGACAGAGATGGTCAGCTCCCTATGCACTATGCTTGCAGAAACCGTTCGGGGGGATATGAAATAATTTTATTTTTGTGTAAAAATGGTGGTAAACTGCCGATAGACTACGCGTGTAAAAATCGAAATTTTGACAGTGAGATAAAAAGATTTCTGTTAGAATGCATGAAACGTAAAATACGTAGTTACGAAACGTAACTGTGCACCGATTGTAAGAGGTCGTGTTAATTCAATAGCAATTTTTGTTACGTAGATACATAAGCGGGATTATATTTCATTTGACTTGTTTATAGTAAATCCAGCCAGTGACCACTGTTTTATAGTTAGTAAACATTTTCATTTGAATATAGTTCAAACAAACGCTGAGGCCATAATACACCAGTTGCAATATTCATGCCCTATAATCGAAACAGACAGCTGCGAAATATTGGGACCAAGCTGGTAAGATGAACTACTAACTACATGTGCATTTAATCAAAGTTTTCTAAGAATATCAGCGAAAGCAATATTCTAGTTCAAAATCTAAAAACAATTATTGTTGCATTTCAGTTTCTGTGTTATTTTTAATTAAAATATTATATGGATTAAAGTATTTATAAATTATCAAAATCTATTAAAAGTAAAAATGTTGTATGTGAAAAACTTGCTAAACTGCCATTAAGCGTACGATTCCTTTTAAACGACATTATAAAGACACAATTAAGAAAATTAGTTTACATGCTAAAGGAATATTTTTAGTTTAAACTATTGCATTCATAACTCTTTTAAGATGTATCACGATTATTGTAGTGCATCATAGTATAAAGCACCTTAACGAACGAACGGAAGTGGACATATAGATCAGAATTAAATTTCGTTATCAATTTTTTAGGCATGAGTTATACTGAAACCAAAAGCAATAAAACAATGTAGAGAAATGACCAAATATTTCAACGATTTGCGACATAGTTATGTTGTATCTAATTATTTTTAAAACGTTAATAATGTCTTCTAATCAATGTATATGTTTTAAATATAAATGTACAGGATTTGTCAAAGACTGAAACCTGCACTGTTTTCTTTAGGTTTATACGCATATTAATCGATTTGACGAATTCGTAAAATTTTACTTCTATGGAAATAGAATATGTTATGTTTTAAATGTTAAATATTTTATGTATAATTGGCGTCCATCGACGCTGACTCGGTTATGTTTATTTTTTATGTATTATGAATTTATGAACATTAAAATCATCGGTTGTCGAGGTTAATAAAAACCTGGTCAAGGCTGTCTCCTACTTTATTGTTTTTGTTTTGAGTATGACATAGTGTTTGTAATTATTGTATTCCAGACAGTTGTCAGTAACTCAGTCTAAAGGTTATTAATTCACAACAGTTGATGTGATGCTTTCAAAATTCATTTCAAAGCTGGTGACAACACTCTCGACCAGATTTTTATTTAGACACCCAATGTTTGACAACAAAGAGTCAACGTGTAGCATAAAATGTACTGTCACGCCTTATGACCATACAAGCTGTTTTGTAACAAAACCATGTATTTATTACATCAAGATGTGTATAGTGTATATTAATAACTACGTAATCTATGAAAATAAAAGCGATATTTGTTTGTGTTGATCATTGTTATACACTAATACCACGTTTCTTGAACAAACCTCAAACCGACGAATCGCCACCTTAAACTCTCCTTACTTCCAGGCTCGATGGACCCCAAATCCCTTCCTCGTCACTCATCGACTATTTAGTAAAATTTGATTGTTTTCTTGGTAATTTCGGGCCCGTTGGGTGCCGGAAACGCAACAAAACACAAGAAAAAGTAACATTTCTAAATTTTTGGCCTTTGCAACTTTTCGCTTTTCCAGAAACGAACTACACTTTTTTGACAGCCTTCGCATAAAATTAATAAAAGATGTTGCCTTCATTTTCTTGTATCTTCGTTCAAGGTCATTTTCCACCCTTGGGCTTTACAAGTGAACGAATTCCGACATTTGAAAACACAACGTAGGTCATGGTCACTTTTTAAATTTTCGCGGGTTTCGATGTTATGGCATATTCAAGTTATCATGCTATTGTCATTCACTTTTGTCATCTTGTGGAGAAGTTAAATGTCGTTAAAAAAACTTCATCAGTTATGCTAAATCATATTTGTGGTCGTGTGAGATTTTTAAGAAAATTTAATATATTTTCATTTTTAACAAACAAAAGGACAAAAAACAAACATCACCACTTTTATTTTTGAAACCTTTTGTTGATGATCTTCAGCAATGGCCTCTACGGTAGGTACCTTCAACTTCAGGATATCCTAACATAACAGTAATTTAGACAATAAGGAATACATGCATTTAAAAAATGACCTAATCACAAATATTTTATATTTAAAAATAAAGTCTTATCTAATCTCTTTGTTTTTTGATTTTGTAAATAACAGTGAAAATAAGCAAATATTGACGTACAAAAATCTCTTCCTTGTTTTTTTGGGAGCAGTATATAAAATAAGATCACCAGATTTTCAAAATTGGGTGGTTAATCAGCTCATTCCTGCTTTGGCAAAGTTGAACCAAAAATGTGTTCATTATACAATTCTTCTTAGATACCAAAGCAACAATACATTTTTGCAAAAATTTTGATTCTTACTTCCCGAGCGTAAGCAAAGGAAGTATTGTAATCGAGTCCGTCGGCCGACTCTCTACTTTTACGTTTTCTCGATCTTTCATGACCCCTAGAAGACGAAGAAATAGGTCTCCCATTTCCGTCTGTCTGTCCGTCTGTCCGTCTGTCCGTCTGTCCGTCTGTCCGTCCGTCTGTCCGTCTCTCCGTCCCGGATTTTTATTAGACAGATAATCTCCGAAAGTACTCGACCGATTGTTGTGAAATTTTGTACTTATATTAAGAATATCATGTAGATGGTAAAACGCTAACCAAAATTTGTCTAATCATCCCCACCACTAATGCGATGACGTCACTTCAAAATTGTACATAGTAAATGGGTTTTCAATTGTATAAAATAACATAGTCCTACACATGTAGTTTACAACTCTCAATCGACTTTTCACCCAAAACGTCCAGATTTTTGGAAAAAAAATCAAAATTATAAAACAAAATTTTGAAATTTAATTTTTAATCTGCTAACCAGAATGCTTTGAAATGTTGCAGATCTTTTAAGGTTATATAGAGCATCATAAATCTTTAGTCAAAAAATATTTGCTTATCCCCTCCAAAAACTTGATGACGTCAGCTCAAAAGTTTGTGGAATAAATCATATCTAAAATGTACAAAATATGATGAGTCTGTACTTGTGATCTATCACTCCATTCATATTTTTTGGATTTGCATATACAGGGTGACTCAAAAAAATTAATGAATGCGTAAATTTATTTTACTGATTTACTCAGAAACTACAAAACCGAATGCTTTGAAATCTTGCAGATGTTTTAAGGTTATAAAGAGCATAATAAATGTTTAGTCAAAATATATTTGCTTATCCCCTCCAAAAAATTGATGACGTCAGCTCGAAAGTTTGCCGAATAAATCCTATCTAAACTGTAAAAATATGATGAGTCTGTACTTGTAATTTATCACTCCATTCAGATTTTTTGGATTTGCATATACAGAGTGACTCAAAAAAATTAATGAATGCGTAAATATATTTTATTGATTTAATCAGGAACTACAAAACGGAATGCTCTGACATCTTGCAGATATTTTAAGGTTATAAAGAGCATAATAAATGTTTAGTCAAAATATATTTGCTTATCCCCTCCAAAAACTTGATGACGTCAGCTCGAAAATTTGCCAAATAAATCATATCTAAAATGTACAAAATATGATCAGTCTGTACTTGTGATCTATCACTCCATTCATATTTTTTGGATTTGCATATACAGGGTGATTCAAGAAAATAAATGAAAGCGTAAATTTATTTTACTGATTTACTCAGGAACTACAAAACCGAATGCTTCGAAATCTTGAAGATATTTTAAAATTATCATAAGCATGGTAAATTTTTGATCAAAATGTATTTGGTCGTCCCCCCTAAAAAATTTATGACGTCACCACAAAATTTTGCTGAATAAATCCTATCTAAAATGTACAAAATATGGTGAGTCTCTTCTTGTGATTTATCATTCCATTCAAATTTTTTCGATTTGCATATACAGGGTGACTCAAAAAAATTAATGAATGCGTAAATTTATTTTATTGATTTAATCAGGAACTACAAAACCGAATGCTTTGAAATCTTGCAGATGTTTTAAGGTTATAAAGAGCATAATAAATTTTTAGTCAAAATATATTTGGTTATCTTCTACAAAAAACTGATGACGTCAGCTCAAAAGTTTGCCGAATAAATCGTATCTAAAATGTACAAAATATGATGAGTCTGTACTTGTGATTTATCATTCCATTCATATTTTTGGATTTGCATATGCAGGGTGACTCAAAAAAATTAATGAAGGCGTGAATTTATTTTATCGATTTATATTTATTATTAGTATTACACCCCAACCAACCCAATTTGGTAGACACAAAATTTGTTAAAGGAAAAATTCGGTTGAAACATAAGGGTAGCACGCTTATTTACATCAACTTTAACATTACAGACCTGCATTTGTTTTATGCGCTCACTTGGTTCCGCGAATGTGAAATAGACATGTTTATAATTAACCAATTGTGAATTTCACCGTCAAGAATTAATATAAAAACCAATGTTTTATATAATAAGCGGAAGTCGAAGCAATAAAACCGATGGTCGTTTTGTTTACAGTTTCTCTGTTTGACTCTCACGTATGCTGTTACGCTTGTCATCATAAATTAAGAATGTTTATACATAAACGATTTTCAGTTGCCTTTCATATTACTAGACAGCGGATTTTTGTCGGGCTACGTCACGTGTAATCGGTACTAATTCCATAAATATAATTAACGATTTATTAATCAAACGGCTAAGTAAATGAGAACGGGAATTAACAGCAGAGTGCAACGAAACAGCGTTATTCTAATCTCAAATAAACGAAGTGCAGTCCGCAACCGCAATGAATTCGCATCCCATACGAGCCGTACCGAGTTTGGCCTTGCCTAGCCCGACAGAAATCCGCTCTCTAGATATTACACACCGACGCCGTATACGTGAGTAAATTGTTTCGTTATTTTATTGATTATAAGAAATCAATATTCAAAACGACCCAATTCATTTTCCCGAAAATTTGGGAATACAATAATTTTATTCTTAGTATTACACTACATCTATCCCAACTGATATACGTGTCCTTGCAAAAATGTTGATGACGTCATCACAATTTTTTTTTAAATTCCTACTACAAAAATGTAATGAGAAAAAAAAAACACAATAGGCATGCAGTCGTCAAGTTTCCGACAGCGAGGGAAGTACTGTCTAAACTCTTTAGACCAATTTTTTATCAAGCTTTTAACAACCTAACCTGTGTAACTGTACAAAGAAAGTTCTTTTTTCTTCAAATTCCAATTTCTAGGTAAAGCTAAATTTTCTTTTCCTTTAGGAACATCGTTTTCTTTTCTATTATTATTTTTAATATAACTCAAAAAACCAACTAAAGGTGTTGTTTTGTCGGTTTCGTAACTTGAGTTATTTAAAGCGTCCAAACTACAGACCGCAGCAAATATTTAATTTTTCGGCTTTGACCGTTGGAACACCCCGTATCTATGTTACATGAGTATTTAGGCAGAAATGTTTTATGTTTTATTTAGTGTTTGATTCTGTTCACAATATATTTTACTTCATAATATAACATACTCCTATATTCGTGATTTATAAATCTGCCTTGATTTTTATCACAATTATTTTACAAAAATTTTTGTGCGCGTAGCTGATATTTGGGTGTTCGCGTTAATTCGATCCCGTCCGTTTTTTCTAGCACACTGATTCATGTTCGAAAGAAAATTTGAATAAAAGGATATAAAACATCATAATACGTTAACAATAAATTGAACAACATAGGCGTACTCTCCATTTTGTAAATAACCTTGAATAATAACCATAATATTTTTTCTGAAGCGCAACTTAAGAGATAAGATTATTTTTTATTAGTATCTGTTGATTGTTTCACTAAATTTCTATCAAAATAGATTTACGAATAGTCCATTTATACACGTAATAAAAAAGTTTCAATTGTGTAACCATTATTATTTTTTGTTCTAATTAAACATGGCAGCCGTAAGTTATTGGTGAAGTATACATATTATAATAAATTATTTCCAATTGAATTTTTTAGATTTCGAGTAAAATAAATATCGATGAACAATATGAAACACCTGAAAATTTTTCTCCGGTAAGTTTGTTTAATATTTATATTAATTTAATATTTTACAAGTAACGTGTAACTGTAGATTGTAAATACAGCGTGATCAACAAGTACCATTTAAGTTCTGAAACAACAAATGTTGACGTAAATTAAATATCACTGTCAACCATGTCAGTTTTGTCAACAGAAGGTAAGGTGGAGTGACAGCTCTACCAGTTTCATGCAAAATTCGTTGTTAACAACTGAAAAGCACTTGCTGATCACACTGTATTGTGTAATCATTCCCAACAACATTTTAATGACACCATGGTACTTAAATGATAAAGATTGTACTTTAGGACGAAATAGTTGAATGATAAATGTTTATGAGTGGATTAAACCTTATGCAATAAACCGGGTCACACGATAATAATTTTCCTAGATTGTATTTCAATCAAATATCGTTTTTACTTTGGAATTAATAGGTAAAATTCGTTAAGATTTCTTTTTGAAAACGGGAAAAAATGTTCGACTGTTTATGCGTATACTTCAAAAGAATTCGACTATAAGCACGTTCAGATTGGAAGCATCAGCGGTTAAAAGAAAATGAAATTTGATGGTTTTGTCTCCTCAACGCAGAGGACTGATTAATTAATTATTCTCCACACTAAGAACCCGTTTATAGAATATTTAATTTTGCTTCTTTGAAACACTATAAATTTTGATTAACGATTTACAATGCTTGCATTGAAAAAAAATTTCAAAACTAGTGTGCTTGATGTACTGTCAACTGTATTACTTTATTATACATTCTTTTCAGAAATTTAAGAAGAGAAGAGGTACCACAGACCCCGGCAGAGACTACGAACACCTCTACATAGCAAACTTAATTTTAAAATTAATAATCGACGATGACGTGGAAAATTTTTATTTGTCGTCCAACGATAGCACATATGGTGCTTTCGATGACGTTGTAGTTGAAATTAAATTCAAAGATCGCACCGAAAGGTTCGCTATTCAGTTGAAACACGTCACCAAATCAGGAAGAATAAAAATTGAGCAGTTAAACGCACCGAGTGGAAATTTTAGCGTTGAGAAGTACTACGAAAACTTCAAAAATGAGCCGAAGTTGTCTGAACGGTCTACCAAGATGGTCTTGTTTACCAATTCTAAACTAAACGATGAGCACATGGATCGGTTTAACTATGGCAAACTGACGCTATGTGAACAAGACAGTTTGCTAAGTACTCGTACTTCAGAACTGGGAGGAGGGTGTTACAGATTTGTCGAAAATGGAGATGAGTTAAAAAAATTTGGAACTTTTTTGGAAAATTTCTACCTCTACACTGGTCAAACGGATGCCAAGGAACTAGAAGCGAGTACACTGGAGAGTTTCAAGACATATTTCAACAGCAACGAAACCGTTTTCCTGGAGTATCTACATTTTATAACTCAGTGGAGCATGAAGGAACGGAAAAAAATCAAATTGAGTAAAACGTGGATGAAACACATGATAACCCTTTGTGTATTGTCACCTTATATCAGACCGTTAGCTTTTGTTACCGGTGGAGCAATGAACACCAAAAGAAAAATTTTTCGAGAAGCAGTTTCGAAATTTGATTTGACTATTATAAATAAGAACAGTTTCGAGAAAATCGACTCAATTTGGTCAAATGCGATTGACGATATAGTTGATGTGGAAGAAGCGATTAAAGTTAATTACAAGTACCAACTTATCGAAACCGGAATAGAAACAAAAGAGAGTCTGTATGATAAGGACGTAACGAAAGTATCGAAGCTCATGTGGTTACTGGGAAAAAGTCCATTAGTCGTTGAAGAATGTCCACAAGTTTATCGAGTAATAAATCTATGTCAAACCCAAAATCTAATTGTACTAGATAATCAAGAAACGTTTACTGAAGGTCTTAGAAGTGGCAATACAGACGATCAACAAAAACCACACGTATTTGAAAAGTTGTCTGACTTAAAAAAACACCCACGGTTGTATGAAGAACTTCTAACGAATTTTACATATTCGTTGCAAGGTCAAAAAGACGTTAATTTGAAATATTTGATAGAAATGTGTGAAGATAACGCCAACTTCGTTACTACGGATGATTTAGTTGAAATGATGGAAGCTCCATTGCTGATTGGACAACACCAAGATGCTTTGCCACCCAGTCACATTGAAAGAAAACTGACGAAAATTTTAATAGATGTTAAATTTTTGAAAAATATCAGTAAACAGACAATTGTTTTACTTGATTGCCATGACGTAAATTCTTTGAAATCACTTTTACCAAATTTAGTGGTCACCGAAGTGAAAGACGATGAACTCCTTCAGAGCACAATTCATAAACAAATGATCTACGTTTGTGGGAACGAAGTTTCCCAGGAAAACTTTTCTGCATTGAGCAAACAAAATCCAAAAATTCAGTTTCATCACCTCAGATATTTAAACAATCATTGTTTGGAATGGATAGCCAGTGAGAATTATGGCCCGAAACGGGGATACATCAACGAGCTGGAGAAGTTTCGTCTACAAAGTGAATTCATGGAATATACCATAAGCGAATACGAATACTTCAGTCATTCTAGACAAAACATCAACATTGTCTGTGCCGATCCTGGAATGGGAAAAAGTACGTTAATGAAGAGCTTGAAAAGTAGCAGTTCTTCGTCAAAATGGACCATTTTAATTTACGCTAGAAATCATGCCTTACACTTTAGGAAATCTGAATCCAACATGGATAATTTTTTAAAATACATCCTAGAAGATACTTGTAATGAACGCACAAGCCGGTTCCACCAGGGAGTGTTCAAAACGATGCTAGAAGAAAATCAAATACAACTAATATGGGACGGAGTCGATGAAGCATCTGATGCCACTCAAACTTCCATTTTAACTTTAGTAAGTACGTTTTCGGAAAAAGGAGTCAAGCAATGGTTGACTTCTCGTAACAATTTGAAGGATATGTTAGAAAATAAGTTAGCTACGTTTGCACGAAGTATAGAACAGTTCAGTGAAGAAGAACAACAAGAATACATTAAAAGCCGGTTACGGATCACCGAAGATGAGTTAAATGAAACTTTTAATAAAATAAGAAAAAATATATTGTCTTTTCCAAATTACGAAATTTTAGGCATTCCTCTACAAATTTATATGCTTACAGAACTATTTTTAAAAGACAGAGACAAATACCTACGTTTGTTAGACGGTATTTTCACTGTTCTTGATCTATACGAACATTGTATTGACGAAAAGTTTCGGGTTTTATACAACGACAAAAACGAAATACCACTAAGAAGTGAACAAAATCTCCAGAGTTTCGAAAACGAAAAGAACACTAGAATTAACCACTATAAAAGTTTAGCTGCGAGTTATTACATTTATAACTCTTTAAGACACAGAATTGCAAGTAAATTTTTGTCTACCGACAAGACAACTGACAGTTTTGTAGAAAAAATTAAAAACGAAGGAGATGATGTAGGATTTATAAGTCGCGTTATTTCTAAATACGATGTTGAATTCATTCACAATTCGTACGGTGAATATTTTGCAGCGTTGTATCTATTCGAATACGAACCATCTAAAGCACGGGAAAGAGAATTTATTTCTGACAGCAGATACAAAAACATTCGGTTTTTTTTAGATTTGATGTTAGCGAGAAACTCGAAATGTATAATAGGTGTTATATATAAAAATCTTACAATTTTAGAAGAATTTATACATACAGATCTAAATCAAAAAGACGCCATTGGTCGTAACGTTTTGGAAGTGGCTTGCGCCTGGAATAAAAACTATCCACTTGTTAAAAACAACGTTATTTTGAATGGTAAAAGTTTCAATACGGAATGGTTAATCAATAACAATAAAAAAGTCGTTAGAACTCTCAGTTATCGTGATATACAACCAAAATTTTATAAATTTAGCGCATCGAGTGATGCATGTTCTAAAAAGTTGATGATTTTGTTACCATTTTTGATTCCATTATATGACGGGAACCAGTTCGCTGAGGAGTATTTAGTGGCAGTTTTATACTATGCAATTAGGTTGGATTTTCCAATAATTTATGAGTGTATTGAAAATTCTATTCCTTTAAAAAACACATACAATAATATTAGTTCAAGAAGTATTTTAGCCTTAGCTCTTTTTAATAGATCAACGCAAATATTAAAAATATTACTTTCCGAAGAACGAAGTTATTGCGGATGGGACTGCGTAGAAGAACTTTTAATTGCGGATTCAGAAATTGATGGAGTATTGAGTTTTGCTTTACAATTCCCGGAGTTTCGAATAGATGTGTTAAATTCCAGAGGTCAGTCGTTGATGCATTACGCATGTGAAAAAAATCTCACTAAGACGTTACGTTCATTAATTATCAGGGAAGTGAACACGAATGATAAAGACGGAAATGGAAAACGTCCCATACATCTTGCACTTGAAAAAGACCATTCAGTTTTTTTAAAACACATAGCGCAAATCGACGTCTTAGATAAAGACGGTCGGTTGCCGCTTCATTATGCTTGTGAAGACGGAGATTTAGACGTGGCATCAGTACTGTTAAAGTATGGTGCGAAAGTGGATGTTCCGGACGGAAATGGACGACTACCGATACATCATGCTTCTGAACACGGAAATTTAAGCACAGTAGAATTACTGGTAACGAATGGAGCGAAATTTGAGGTTCCGGACAGAGATGGTCAGCTACCGATACATTATGCTTGTAGAAACTGCATTGAGGGAGATGACATAATTTTCTCTTTGTGTAAAAAAGGCGCAAAAGTGGATGTCCCTGATGGAAATGGACGACTGCCGATACATCATGCTTCTGAACACGGAAATTTAAGCATAGTAGATTTACTACTAAAGAATGGAGCGAAATTTGAGGTTCCCGACAGAGGTGGTCAATTACCTATGCACTATGCGTGCAGAAATTACTGGTTGGGATATGACATAATTTTATTTTTTTGTAAAAAGTTTGCAAAAGTGGATATTCCGGATGAAGATAGACGGCTGCCGATACATTATGCTTGTGAACACGGTAAGTTAAACATGGTAGAATTACTGGTAACGAATGGAGCGAAATTTGATACTCCGGACACAGGTGGTCAGCTACCCATGCACTATGCGAGCAGAAATCGCTGGGGGAGATATGAAATAATTTTATATTTGTATAAAAATGGAGCGAAAGTGGATGTTCCGGATGATGATGGACGGCTGCCGATACATTATGCTTGTGAACAGGAAAAGTTAGTCATGATAGAAACACTGGCATCGAATGGAGCGAAATTTGACGTTCCGGACAAAGATGGTCAGCTACCGATGCACTACGCGTGTAGAAATGACCGGTTGGGAAATGAAATAATTTTATTTTTGCAAGAAAAAGATGCGAAAGTGAATGTTCCGGATGGAGCTGGACGACTGCCAATACATTATGCTTGTGAACGCGGACCTTTACACATGGTACAATTACTGGTAACGAATGGAGCGCCATTAGATATTCCGGACGAAGATGGTCAGTTACCGATACACTATGCGTTTAGAAATGACCGGTGGAAAGACGAAATAATTTTATTTTTGTGCAAGAATGGTGCGAAAGTGGATGTTCCGGATGGTGATGATGGCTACTAATACACATAAATAAGATAAAGTAGGATGCACTACAAACTGTTAAACTCCAACTTCAATTGCTAGCCGGCGAGTGCTAACGTCGCGTTCTTCTTAGACGCGTTGCAAAATTTGTTCTTCAGCTTGCAGTATTCTTTCTGTTCTATCACGCCCACGATCGCGAGTTTGAGGCTTGAAGTTACCATGATCTCGAAGACTCTGTACTATTGATGAAAATGTTCGCACATACGGAATCGCATGAGCACATAGGTCACAATTAAGTTTCATTATCATTTTTTTAGCTATGATTCATACTAAACAGAAAAACAATAAAACAATGTATATCATAGAAGTTATTCATGTTTAGATCAGATTATAAAAATTTATAGAGGAATGACCAGATATTTCCGCGTTTAACAACACAGTTAGGTATGTAGGATCTAATTAAAGTTTTTAGTTCTATGGAATAATCTATGTCATATGTCATAAATGTCATATATTTTATGTTAGATTTGACGTCCTTCAATGTTGATACAGCTAATTGTCTGTATATATGTATTATAAACATTATAATTAACGGGTGTGTAAAAAAAAGCTGGTGTAGGCAGTTGCCCCTCATTTTATTTTTTTTTCGTATTTAAAAATTGTTAGTTCACAAAAGTCGATGTGACAAACGGATGACAACTTTCAAAATTGATTTTGAAAACGACATACGGAAGAAAACAAAAGCTGGTGACATAACACTCTTGACCAGATTTTTATTTAGACACCCTATATTTTATAACAAAAAGTCAACGTGTAGCGTAAAATGTAGGTACTGTCACGTCCTGTGATCATGCAGGGTATTTTGTAATAAAACAATGTATTTGATACACTAATATTTCTTAACTAAACTGTGTTAATAAATGCAATACTTGTTGATATTGGCCGTTATTATATACTAATAATGACAGGATTCTTGAACGAATCCACAAACCAGCGACCATTGTTTTATATCCGACACGACAAGTAAACACTGATGAGGACAAAAGGATAAATTTGATTTATCATTATTTATACTATGGTAAAGCAAGGCTTTTAATGTAGGCCATCATTTACGCAATCATTTTGGATCTGTTGCCAAACTTGCCTCCCCTTACCCATGAATGGAAAGCCTGAAGTACATCTACATCAAAATCTGGCAAGAGTTACACAAAGCTGAAAAAAGTTATTGCGAAGAAGTCCAAACCAAAATCCAAAACCATTCTCACACTTGTGGAATTAATAATTTGATGCATGAAGAATCCACCTTCGAAATGGAGAACTACTTGACTGAAAAAATCAAAGCAAGTGACCCCACAAACATTGCTTTGATTCCGTTCCGTTTGAGGCACTACGCAAAAAGTAAATTAGACCTCCTGATTACAAAAGCTCTTCACGCCAAGTACCACTGTCACGAACATCAATATCGCCTCATTGTTAACGACGAAGGCGAAAGAGTCATAGCACCGGTGGACTACCTAAACACCGGTGTCACCATGAATAACACAGTCTGGTCCAAAGGCTTACACCAATTCGTGCAACTCAAACACAACCTTCACGTAACTTCAGAAAGCTTGACCAGCAGCTTCATTTCCAACATCGGCTACATCAAGAAATACCAAGACAAAAACATCTTTGGAATGACCGGCACTTTGGGCTCTCAATCAGAGCAACAACTACTCTCGAAAGTCTACAACGTGAACTACGCAAAAATCCCCACTTACAAAAAGAAGGTCTTCGAGAAATATACCATGGTGGTTGTCGACGACGACAAATGAGTTGATCGAGTCATCGCAGAAGTTTTGAAAAAAATCAATAACGAAAGAGCGGTTCTAGTAATCTGCGAAACAGAAGAAGATCTTCTCAGCCTCAATCAGCAACTTATCACCATACAAAAGACCACAGTTTACGCAAACGAAGACAACGCGAAAGAACCAGAAGAACCGGTGAAGATCGGCGACATCATTTTGGCCACAAACATAGCGCGACGCGGAACCAACTTCCGAACAGAAGAAGATTTGGAATGAAAGGGGGTCTACACGTGTGCGTCGGTTTTCTCCCATGCAACCTACGAGTAGAAGAGCAAGCTTTTGGTAGAACGTCTCGCCAAAGTAACAAAGGTTCAGCTCAACTCATCGTCTGTCAAAGCGAAATCGAACACTTGAACATAGAAGAAGTTCGTCCTGGGGACGACGAAATCAAGCGAATAAGAGACCTCTGGGAATCTGCAAGATTGGAAGAAATCAAAAATGTTCTCGTGAAAGAACTGATATTCAAAAATCAACTCTTCGGTCTCTTTTTAAAATTCAACGGTGACCAAAGGCGAAGTAAGCGGAAGAAGCAGGAAAAGTTTGTTCTTGACGATTTGAAGGAGTTTTAGGCTTTTAGGTTGGAAAAGAAAGACTCAAAGTTGAAGAAATAGAAAATATAAGTGCACAAGCTGACTTTGACAAATTTCGTGAAGACGCAAAGTACATCATTGGTGGAAGGATTTGTCATAATCCGTATTATTGTCTAGGTTTAGCAGAGTACCATTTGAGGAACGATGACCGAAAGGAAGCTTCTCAGGTGTTACAGCAGGCCATCGAAATGAGTGACGACAAAAACTTGAATTTATTGGCAGGAGCGTATTTGAAATTTTTTCATATTGCGATACTCGATGGTCGACAAATAATGTACAGAATTAAGAAAGCCGTCGGAGATTTGTTTTTCATCAAGGTGAAAGAGAATACGAAGTATAAAATTGACGCAATTAGATATTTGCAAAAAGCTGGACAAGCTATCGACAACGAAATAAATTATATCAATAGTCGTTTAATGAGCGAAGAGAACAGTTTCTGTACAGAAGAACCGTTAGAAGACAATGAAGATGAGAATTTGTTTTTGAAGCACATGTGTTCTCGCCTTAGTTGCTTGAAACTACATACGGGCAACGTTGAGAGTTTAACAGAACAAATTAATCAGCTGTCTGCAGTGGCGATCCAAGGTAAAAGTCCAACAGCGGAAGAACAGTTTCAAGACGTCTTTAAAAGCTTGCAGTTGAACGAAGTCACTAGCCACGAACTTCATGAAGTTACAGCTCGTTACAGTCTATAGGAATTGATACTCTTTTTGCTTTAAGAGAAGTACAATACATGATGTTCCACCAACTGTCATTCGTGCAGCTCAGATACAAATTGGTGCTGAAATTGCAGCCCTGAACATTGGACTCGTTTTCCTTCCAGTCTTTCCCATAATGAGTCCAATCGCTGCAACCTTAATTTCAGAAGGCCTCTTAGACATCATATTTGAAGTACTATCACAAGGCTATCAAGAATTCGACAGAAAGGCTTTCATGAAGTCCAAATTTATCTCCGATGGGATATCTATTCTCACTTTCGGTTTGAGTGCCGCTTTGCAGTCCAAAGTAATCCTAGACAAAGCCATCGAATATTGTCAAAGATTGTCAAAATTCTTACGTGGAAGCACCCGTTTCAAAAGTATTTGTGAACGCTTGGCTAAAGATAAGATACAAAAGTACTTCGAGAAGCTTCGTTTGGCTGCTGAACTGAAAAACTTAACCAAAACTCAACAGTTAACCAAATTGAAAGAATTGAGTTGCACCAATCCAGAGCTATTCGCAAAACTCGACTGTGGTGCTAAACTGGAAAAGCTATAAGCACTGGAAAAACTGGGGAAGCTTCAGGTATCACGAGTCGAACTACTTTTGGACTTCACGATGAAAACCGGCATGAAAATCGTGAAACACTCTGCTCTTTACAACAACGTTGTAAAACCCATAGAAAATCAAGTTTTTGAGAAGCTTTTTAATGGAATTATGAAAGAACTACAAAACTCGGTTAATAAAAACAACGATTTACGGTTGAAACTTCTCACATCACCAAGAAACGACATAAACAAGGCAGTAGAGGAACTGTTAAACGGAACCGAGTTTAAGACTGTGGTGGGCACAATTTACTCAAAACTGTCAGAAAAGTTTGATGTTGTGCCTTTCAACCAAATTTTATCTTCAGCTGCAGCAATCACCAATTTGCAGAGTTTTCTGAACTACGCTGAAAACTTTGCTTAGAATCTTGAGAAGCTTCTGGACCATGATGGAACTGCAAACAACAACGTCGACCAAATTATCGAAGAAGTGTGCGGGAAAGTGGCTGCAAAAATTATCGCTTTCTTGAAGGAGTGTTATAACAACGTAGAGAAGGTCGTTTCTACCGCAAGAAAACTGCGTTTCAATAAAGAACTGATCATTTCAACTGCGGAAAATTTCGTGATGGAGCAAATGTCGGCAAAAATCCTGGACAAACTCCGATCCGAGATGAAGAGAGCCTTGAAGGAGTCAATTAAAGGCCGTTCAGAGTTGATGGAGAAGCTTCGGACGACAGAGCAGGCGGCAATCTTTGCTGTGCTCGATCAGTTGCAAAGGGACCATGGAATTGCACAGTTCCAGATCGCGTTTGCCGTTTTAAAGTCATTGGAAGTCGTGCCCGTACGTCGGGTTGTTAGTTCTGGATTTAGTGTCACCATCTGTACCTACAAGTTTGTTACATGTAGTAGCAAGTTTGCAGCAGATTTGGAATCAGCTCTCAGAGGTGACTGTTACGACAAACAAGTCGAGGATATTATTGAAATGATTTCTTCAAAGATGGTGGATTTTCTTTTGCCTTTGCTGGAGGAAGTTATCGCTGGAACCCTAGACATAGTTTCGGCGGTCCAGAGTGTGGACAGTTTTCGTATTGAAGATATCGTCGACAATTTGCCCACCATTGCCGCGAACATGGTCGATGTTTTAATGTACGAATTTCGAGGAAATTTTTTCCAACTTGTAACAAAGATGCTCATTTCTGAGTGTAAAAAATTGGCGAGTTTGGTGGAGAAGCTTCGAACAACGCCTTTAGACGAAATTAATACTACAGTAAGCGAAATGCTAAGCAATGACAACGTCAAGATTCTACAGTCGTTCTACCAACTGTACGAAACACTCGAAGGTATGTCAAAAACAAAGCTACTGAGTGAAAGTCTAGAAACAATTTTTAAAATGTCAGGGGTTTCTGTGTACATCGGCCAGTTTGCGCTCTCTCTGGAAAAACGTCTACAAGGTGGAAACGAAAACAACAACACTGATGAAATTATTGAACACATTTGTTTAAAACTAATGAAATCAGTCGAACCTCTCCTGGAACAGCTGTTTTTCCAAAGAAACAATACAGGTGTGACTGTGAGCACTTCTGATAAGTTTTCGAGAGTAATCAATTTTGTCTGGAACTTACTCCAACCGAAGATAATCGAAGCATTTAAAAGAAATCTTCGCAGATCTATAAGGAAAAGTGAGATATATATTAATGGAGAAACTTCGTATATCGTACTACATTGATATCAAAAAAGAATTTACCGATGTTTTGAAGAAAAGTTTGTTTGAAAGACTTCTGACGACGCTTGCTCCGGAAGTATTAGTCTCTTTCCATAGAGAATTCGGTAAGTCTGGTGTTGCAATACTGAGCTTGAGTTTTGACCTCAGTATCCACTTGAACGACTTAAGAAATTATCAAGATACTTTTGCCCAAGCTATCGAAAATGCCCTCACTGGTGGCTCACATAACAACGACGTTGACACCATTATCGATGAAGTCGAGTCCGAAATCATGAAAATCGTCAAGCCTCTGCTGCAGAAGATGTACGAAAACACTAAAAACATCATCGGTGTTGTACAAAAAGTTAATTCTACCAACTTTGATGATGCGCCAATAGATACGGAGAAAATTAAAAACATTTTAATAACAGAATTTGAAGAATCGCATGCCAACGAACTGGTGAAATTTTTCGAGAATTCTTTGAGAAAAAAGTTAAATGCTAACGAATCTTTGAAGGAAAAGTTGCGCACAAATCCGTCCGAAGAAATCGTAGCAATTGTGAATATTGTAATGAACACCGAAAGAAACAAGATTTTGGTGTTCCTTCAGCAACTTTGTCAAAGCCTGCAAAATGGTACACACGCTTCCGAATGTTATTTACCGCAATTCGAGCGGGCCTCGACTTAACGCAGTTTATTTTGTACGTTGACAAGTTTGTGTTTGATCTTGAGGCTCGTCTCCATCTTGGAAATGAAGATAACTACGTGGAAGATATAATTTTCGACGTTTGTATGGCAATGTCCAAATTCGTTGGACCTCTAGTAAAAGAAGTTTTGAATAGCGGCACGAACTTTGCTTGACAGTAAGACAAGAGCTTGAAAAGTCCACCAGAAGTGTTAGACATAACGAAGAAGTTTTTGTGGAAGGAAATTTCCGATAGGATTTTAGAGGAGTTTAAGCAGCGTTTGAACATTTCCATCAAGAATCGCAAACCGTTCATGCTCAAACTTCAAACTACGAACAGAAAATTCATAGTGGAAGCTGTTAAAAAGCTTCTGGCGAAAGGGTTACTCGAAAGACTGTTTAGGAAACTCGTGCCACAATGTCTAAATTTGCTGGAAGAGGAAATGGGCAAATCGGTGGTCGTGTTATTGTCTTCCATTTTTCATCTTACACTTGAATTGGATGACATCTTCAACTACGTCAAAAATTTTGCGGCCCAACTTGATTATGGCTTGAAAGGAGGAAGTTGTAATAACGATGTTGGCGAAATGATGGTCGAAGTCGAGTTTAATGTGGTAATGAAAGTATCCTCTTTGTCGGAAAACGTCTACCAATAACTATTCCACTTCAAATCTACCGTTTTCGGAGATTACTGACATTAATGCTACTCTGACCACAACAGTGGACATAGTGATCAGAGAAATTTGTATCTGGGTTGTAGACGAACGACTTAAGAAATTATCAAGACACTTTTTCCCAAACTCTGACAGTGCCCTCACTGGTAGCTCACATGACACCATTAACTAGGAAATCGAGTCCGAAATCATGAAAATCGTCACGCCTCTGCTGCAGAAGATTTACGAAAACACTAAAAATATCATCAGTGTTGCACGAGAAGAGTTTTACCAACTTTGACGATACACCAATAGATACGAAGAAAATTAAATACATTTTGATAACAGAAATTGAAATCGCTTGGAGAATTTCTTGAAAAAACTTATCGCTGGGACTTCTAAACATAGTTTCGACGTACAAGATGCTGAAGATTTTTCTAAATTTTTCTGATTTTGGTGTATAAATCTCAGCCCAGTATTTTCGAGTTTATTTGCAACTTACCTGCGACGTAAAAATCCCTGAAAACCTAAAAACCACTAACCACACACGTCGTTTTCACGACTGACATCGCTTTATTTGCAACAATCACACATATTTACTTATAAATATTGTCTTTTGGAGACTTAACCGAATTCGCCTATAGTAGTGCTACAGTCGTATCACTCAATACAAACAATATTAAAAATAAAATAATCTCTAGCCCGGCATTGGCGCCATACAACACACTTTTTACACATATTCCACACAAACACACTCAATAACCCGTTACAAAAATACTCTTTGGCCTTAACATAATCAACAATCAAGCTTAAACAAAACTATACAACAGATTCCTATCATAGAAATGATAAACCCCGTTAATGTGCTTCAAGACTTTCCCTTCGATCAAATGCCGTGCGTAATTCACGGCCTCGCCTCGGTCCCGGGCCAGACCCACCTCGATCAACCAGTCCACAAACTGGTGACCAGTAAACACGTTCCTGTAAACCTTGATGCGCCATCTTTTGTCAGAAGCTATAGAACTTCGACAACTCTGTAAATGGTGGGTGACGAACTGGTCGCAGATATGGCGTGTTTCTGGGGTTAGTTCGTGCCAGGATGGCAGCACCAAGGTATTGGCACCGTACCAAATCAAACGGCGCAGTTTCAGCAGCGGCAAGGCCACTTCTTTCAAATCCAGACCGAAAATACCGAAAACTATGATACTTTGACCGAAGTTGAGAGTCGCGTCGAGGAAGGACAACTCGACGTAGATTCCAGAGATTTGTTCCATGACGAGGGTCCAGATGGACAGAGCCAGACCCTGTGACCGTCATTTTTATTCGAAAAAAAGTTACGCATAAATGACTTACCACAAACATGGAACACAACAACAAGATCAACAACACCGTGTGTCTCAAAAATTGGGGTTCGTGCGATTCCGGCTCCTCTTCGATGTATTCGAGATCGTCGTCGATTTGTTCCTGGTACTGGCGCACAATGCCCTGGCATTGGCGCCGCTTCGGGCCTTGACAGCCGAACCGCGACGGACAAAGGCCTTCGTTGTCGATCGCCGGAAGGAGATTCTTGATGTCGCTGGAGGTACCGACGAAAAGGTCTTCGATGTCGACGACCGGACTTTCCTCGCAGCAGCCTTCGTTGATCGTGGGTAAGGCTCCACAGAGGTTACTTTTACCGGGACTTATACCGCTGTCGGAGCTTGTACCGGGGTTGGGACTTTCTATGTTGGTTTCAACCTCGGTGCTGCTCGAAGGTGAAGGTTCTTGCTCGGACGAAACGTCTTGAGCTAGATCTAGGTAGCGGGTAAAGCGGCGGTGGTGGCGCTGTTGTAGGATCAAGCAACCGACGGTTACTAAAACGTAGCAATAAAAGTGTTAGTAAAAATTCAATTTAATGATAAATTGATCTGATTGATGTTAACTTACCTATGAAGCACAACACCAACAACGCGATTGCGATAATCGCCTGCGGCGTACCATATACGAAATTCGGGTTTCTTTTATCAAGTGGTAAACTCGTCTTCGTTTCAAGTAACAATAATACCACAGTCACAGTTAGGGGAACTCCCCAACCAACAATAAAAAATAACGGTTGTAGTTTTAAAACGTAGCATAAACTTCTACACTGTAAAAATAACAAAGTGATGGCCAAGATTGTGGTCCACAGCCGTGAACTGTACACCCCTGTAATAAACAGGGATGATTGGAAAAATCCCGCCCAACCCTCTTTTTGTTCCAGAGTATTCCACAAAATGGCCCCAAGACAACTAACAAGCTAAAACAAAAATATAAACTACTACTCAGGACGTGTTGCTCGCTTAGTCTCACCTGCGATATGACTAGACAAGCAGTGACCTTGTGGGGTAACCTAGAGATTTTCTTTGTCAGTATAAAGACGAAAATCACCCAACAACAAGTAATGGTGGCTACAATACTGACATCTAGCGTAAACGAATCTAGTTGCTTGATGTACTCAGAAGGATCGGTTTTCGTCAAGGTTATCATTTTTGCGGATACAAACATCAAGGGGGCGCTGATGAAAGTGCAAGCGACCATAGCACTAGCGATCTACATTTTGTTGTTGATTATAATTTCAACAGTTAGTCAAAGACTTACTAAATCGATGTCTATGGCATACTGCGTCGCAAAAACAAACACAGTAGGCGCTGATGGGAAAGTACCATAAAGGAACCCGTAAGTACTCAGATCTACCGTTTCGCTTGCATTGTAGCCAGCGTGGATCACGCTGACGACTTCCCTAGTGACTAGAGGGAGAACGATTCTAAAATCCACAATTAAATTTTTTTTTTTTAGAAAATTTGTAGAACGTACAGTTTGACCATTATTAAAATTCCAGGAACTACAAGAGTGGCTCCACGTAGTTGGTGGACTTTGCCCACCATGCGTAGCCCCAATAAAAATAAAGCACTAGCCGAAAAAGCCGACCCTAAAGTATCTAGAACTTCCCCTAGATAACAAGGAATCGTGTGTCTAAAAATCAAATTCCCCAGAATACCCAAAACTGTCATAAAAACTATAGGATTGAAAATAATGCTTTTAGCCACAGACACAGCCACCTTGAATCTTTGTTTATGAATACTGTCAGACGTTGCCAATTCGCCGTCCATTAAAACATCAGTCGTGTTGCCAGCCCTGCGGCGCCCGATTTCCATAAAAATAAAAGAAATGGGGTTTAGGATGGCAAGACTGATGGGCGCCATTAAATACAAATATGAAGCATAATCCGGATGTGTAGTTTTGTACAGGGCCGCCACTACAACTCACTTTATTAACAAAAAAACTAACTAAACAAACAACTCACCAATAGGGTACCCAATCGCAAAATCGTTACTCTGGGTACAAAAAATCGCAAAAATTCCAGCCCTTCCTAAATTCACCGGTCGACCAACCAATAACGTAATCACAATCACCGCCACAAAAACAATACTTTTTGAAATGAGAATGGACAGCAAAAACAACCAGTTCACGGAAGTCAGGTCCAGTTGTGCCAAAGACATAAAAATGAGCGACGGTAGGGAAAAAGTGCCCACGAACGTGTTGATTCCTTTTGCTTCTGTTTCTGAAATTAAGTTCATACGACCTGCAAAGTAGCCGCAGATGATGATGGCGAAACATTTGGTTAGAGCTGGATACAGGTTTTCGATGCTGGCCCCCGAGGGGTCCTGCACAAGGGTGTCGTTCATTGTTTACTGAAATCGAGACGGCTGTGTGTGGGTTTGGTGAATGAGTAAAAATCAATACCTGTGGATGTGTTGATTAATTAGTGGTTGGCGGCTATTCGAGGAAAAAGGTAATTTCCCATTTTTTATCGGGTTTTGGTAGTGTTGTTATTAATTAATTTTATCAGGAGCACTCATTGTTGCGGTTCCAGTGAAAGGAACGATGACGTTTGACAATTCGGGCACATGACTTGACATATGTCAAGGTGAGTGTATTGCTGGTTGCCTATACACCAATAAAATCGACAAATTTGGCTATTTATTCGTTCTTTAGTTAGGAAATATCGTACAGAGTTCAGTTTGGAGTACTTTTTTACTCATAATTGCACTACATAACATTATTGTGTTATTTTCCGCCGACCAAGTAAGATTCTGCAATACTTGACATTTGTTGACCAGTGACTACCAATCACAATGGCGCTGTAAAATTAACATTGAAATTACTTTATAGTGGTAGATTTAAGAGCAGTTTTGTTGCACTATCAAAATTCTTTACTGAAGAGCAATTGATCAGAATTTCCACCAAATTACCACTGAACACCCATCACTTGAAAAATCCAATCACTTTTAGTATTTTTTATTATGTGAAATTCTCAAATAGATTCATGTATCACATCTTGAATTGACATTACAAAAATTTCGAGAGAAGTCCACCCTACGGGAGAACGGGTAAACAAAGCACATTTCAGTAAACATTATCGATATTATTACACTCTAATTACAATTATAAAAAGAACTTTTTTTGAAATTCTATAAAATAAAACAACAAAGTAATACACATTCTTGCTGAAATAAAAACAAAATCTTATTTACAAGGTGACAACACTTTTAGGAATACCGTATCTATACATGAAGCTTGAACTGTGGACGAAGAGTGGGAGCACCATAAACCCTCCCATCGGGCGCCATTTCCCATACTATCCACCATTCGTTTCTTGTACAGATAGTAGTTTTAATCAGACGGAGTGACTCCACGGATTAAAACTCAATTCCTAATTCTGAGAGATATCATTCAATGTCAGGCGGTCCAGCTTGATTTTCCATATTGATTACATTAACTACATTCATAGCTTCTTTCTCCAAGTGATCTAGAGATGTCATTCCTCCTTGTGGATCGTCCTCATCCATTTGCTGCTCGACGGTTTCCACCAGCTGATCAACCTCCTCCAATGATTGTTGCTGAAGATCACTCATCTCGTCCATTGGTTGATCAATCTGATCAATCCCTTCTATTTCTTGAAGTCCTTCATCCACACGTTCATCCACACGTTCATCCACATGTTCATTAACCTCTGCTTCTTGCTGTGGAATCTCCTCTGGAGGTTGATCAGTCGCTTCCACCGGCTCTTCTTGAGTAACCTCTTCAACCACTTCTGGTTGCTGTTCTTCCGGCTGATTGACCTCTTCTGGTTGTTGCTCTTCCTGCTGATTGACCTCTTCTGGATGTGGCTCTTCTTGCTGATTGACCTCTTCCGGCTGCTGCTCTTCCTGCTGATTGACCTCTTCCGTCTCCTGTTGCACCTCATTCTGCTGCTCAGTCTCTTCCACAGGTTGATCAACCTGCTGATCACCCTCTTGTACCTCAACCCCCTCCACTTGTTGCACATCCCCCTCTGGCTGCTGCTCCTCTTCCACCGTACTCACATCAGCAATTTTTATTTCCGGTATTTCCGGTACGGGCACCGGAACCTCCTTAGCTACCTCCTCAGTCCCACTCTCTCCTACCCCCTCCCCAGTCTCAGTCTCCTCTCGACCCCCTTCCACTTCCTCAACCTGGCCGTCCTCTGCGACTCGGACCACCTCGGCCGGTGCCTCCTCCGTCTCCATGACGACCGCGGGTTCTTCCACCCCTTCCACGTTCTCCGTTATGATCACCCCCAGCAACGGGTCGCCCTCGTCCCCTCTGTCCACCTTCTTGTTCAACTCCTCCGGCTGCTGGACGGTGATTTTGATCACCTCCAAGCCGCCGGCGGTCGTGTTCGACTCCTCGATCGTGTGCACTTCGGTTATGATCGGCTTGGAGAGTTTGATTTTTTTGAACTTGTCGGGTTGAGGGGGGACAGCCGGTTTTGTGCTCGTTATTATGATGGGGCTGTCGCAGTTGGCCGGCTCCAGGGAGTTCTCCATGTAATGGTCCTCGTCGCTGTAGACGATCAGGTTGTCTTCGACGTCGATGGGCTCGGTTTTGATCTCATCGACGTCGAGGAGGGGGTCGGTTTGAGCGTTGGACGCGGGCTTGGTGGGGTTGCTGTAGTCGCTGTGGTAGTACTTGGGGATTTTCACGTTGGGCCGGGATCTGGTGCCCTTGCGGAAAGAGAAGACGGGCGGAGGGGACTGAAAGTGAGATTAGGGTAAGGTATAGTAAGCAATGAGATTTAACTTAAAAAGAAATTGCATAATAGTGCAGTCAGTTCCTGTCAAGAACAGAAAAAAATCAATGTAAGATCCGCCTTTTATTTAACTGATGAAATCCGCCAATATAAAATAAACGTTTCATTTCAAAGCCAGTAGAATTAGTCATTTGAAAGACGAAGCGGTGGGTGGACGGGGCTAATTTTCATTTAATGAGCGTGTTAACTAGCTTATTTCTAGCTTAAACTGTGATCTTTATCAACATAAAACATATCTTTCGATTTGGAGGGAACAAGTGAGTCACTGATAGGTGGGTGGAACTAACCTCCTTTGTAAATAATTGCAATTAAATATATTAAGAGTATGAATAAAATATTTGAAGCTTTTTTTTAATTTTAACATTTTTGAAATATGTATTTCATGTTCTAAAATCATTAAATTATCCATCATCCACGTTGAGGGATTCATTTTATTTCATATTAGTAGTATTATAGCAATTAGTCTTACCCACCCTCGCGTTTTCTCTTTCATAATAAGTTATTTTAACTCTGAAACATCAATTTACGTAAGTAAATGGTAGTGAAGTTATTTTTCACAAATAAATCAAATTTACATGTTCTGGAATCACCACTAAATCATGTTAGCTTAAATAGAATCTAAAATAAAAAGTTAAAATTAGCACCACCCAAATGCCTCTCTTTTGTTTCAAGGATTCACTTTATTTCTTCGTAAACGAAAGATTACAATTAGCCCCGTCCACCCGCCCATTTTTATTTAATGAATGATTTCTTTAACTGTAAAATATAAATGAACATAAATAAATTATTTTGAAGATATTTAATGAATAAATAAAAATTGCATGTTCTAGAATTACTTAAATCATGTTTAAATAGTAGAATCTAAAATAAAAAAAGTTATTATTAGCTCCGCCCACCCGCCCAATTCGAATTCGTTTTTTGCCGAATTATTTATTGTTTTTAATTCTCAAATATAAATTTACTTAAAAAAATATTTTAAAGATATTTAAAGAATGAATAAAATTTGCGTGTACAAAAAAATACACAGTTTCTATTGGAGTTAATGGAGTGGAATACGAGGAAACTACTTCCCTCACCTCTAAAACATAACAATACTCTATTATCATTAATATAAAAGTCACTTACGTTCTACTATTTGTTTTTCATTTTACGGCCAATAAAATCGGTTATTAAAAGTGTGAAATAACGAGTGGGCGGGATCGATTGCAATTTTTTCATCTTAGGCGCTACTACATATTTGCCAATGTAAAATCCACGTTTCATCTCACAGTAATTAAATTAGTCGTTCGCATGAAGAAGGGGTGGGTGGGCGGGGCTAATTTTACTTTCTTAATTATGTTCTTTTAAAATGAATTTCCATGCGTCAATGCATAATCCGTGCAAATAAATTTACCGAGTGGGCGCGGATAATTCTATTTATTTTTCCTTAGACCATACCCTTTGTTAAAATAACATACACCTCTGTTCTCGAAGAAAATAAAATGTGTCATGGAAATAGAGACAGGGTGGGTAACTAACTGCGACTAGCCCCGCCCACCTGCCCATTTTATTTTTTAACAAATGTTTTTTTTTTAATTTTAAAATATTAATTAGCATTAATTAATACACGCTGTTAAAAATATTTAATGAATAAATAAAGCTTTCATGTTCTAGAATTACCCAAATCATGTAAGTTTAAATAGCAGGATATAAAATAAAATCAAGATTAGCTAATGTTAATTTTATTTTAAGATTTATTTTGTGGTTTTCATCTTTCAGCATGAAAACTCCTTATACCTTTTTAAAATGAATTTCTATTTAACAATACATGATTCGTGCAAATAAATGTGCCGAGTGGGAGGGGCTAATGCTACTTATTTTAACCTTAGACCACACCCTTTGTTACAATAAGATACACTTCTCTTTTCGAAGGTAATAAAATGAATTATGGAAATAGATAGAGGCAGGGCGGGTGGGGGTAGCTAAGATCCTCTGCAAGTAACTGCAATTAGCCCCGCCCATCCACCCATTTTATTCTTTGACGAATGTTTTTTTTTTAATTCTAAAATATTAATTAACATTAATACACGGTTTTGAAAATATTTAGTGAATAAATAAAATTTTCATATTCTATAATTACCCAAATCATCGAAGTTTAAATAGCCGAATATAAAATAAAATTAAGATTAGATAATTTTAATGTTATTTTAGGGTTTATTTTATGGTTTACATCTTGGACTTCACGATTTGCCAATGCAAAATCCACGTTTCATATCACAATAATAAAATTAGTCGTTCACATGAAGAATGGGTGGGTGGGCGGGGCTAATTTTACCTTCTTCCTTATATTTTTTTAAAATGAATTTCTAGTTATCAATGCATAATCCGTGCAAATAAATTTGTCGAGTGGGAGGGGCTAACTCTACTTATTTTTACCTTAGACCACACCCTTTGCTAAAATAAGAAGATACGCCTCTCTTCTCGAAGGAAATAAAATGAATCATGGAAATAAAGATAGGGCGGGTGAGTGGAGCTAACATCCTTTGCAAGTAACTGAAATTAACCTCGCCCAACGGCCCATTTTATTTTGTAACGAATTACTTTTTTTAGTTCTAAAATATTAACTAACATTAACACACGGTTTAGAACATAATTAGTGAATAAATAAAATTTTCATATTGTAGAATTACTCAAAATCATGTAAGTTTAAATAGAATATAAAATAGAATTAAGATTCGTTAATCTTAATTTTATTTTAGGGTTTATTTTGTGGTTTTCATCTTAGACTTCACGATTTGCCAATGCAAAATCCACGTCTCATCTCACAATAATAAAATTAGTCGTTTACATGAAGAAAGGGTGGGAGGTGGGTGGGGCTAATTTTACCCTCTTCCTTATAACATTTTAAAATTAATTTCTATTTGTCAATACATAATTAGTGCAAATAAATTTGCAAAGTGGGCGGGGCTAATTCTACGTATTTTTATCTTAGGGCACACCCTTTGTTAAAATAAGATATACCTCTCTTCTCCAAGGTAATAAAATGAGTTATTGAAATAGATAGATAGGGCGGGTGGGTGGAGCTAACATCGTTTGCAAGTAACTGCAATTAGCCCCGCCCACCCACCCATTTTGCTTTTAACGAATGATTTTTTGTAATTCTAACATTTTAGTTAACATTAATTATTACAAGGTTTTAAAAATATTTAATGAACAAATAACATTTTAATGTTCTAGAATTACCCAAATCATGGAAATATAAATAGCAGAATATAAAATAAAATGAAGATTAGCTAATGTTAGCTTTATTTTGTGGTTTTCATCTCAGACTCTACTATTTGCCAATATAAAATCCACGTTCCATCTTACAGCAATAAAATTAGTCATTCACATGAACAAGGGGTGGGTGGGCGGGGCTCATTTTACCTTTTTCCTTATACTTTTTTAAAATGAATTTCTATTTATCAATACATGACTCGTGGCCGGTGGGTGGAGCTAACATCCTTTGCAAGTAACTGAAATTAACCCCGCCCACCGCCCAGTTTATTTTGTAACGAATTATTTTTTTTATTCTAAAATATGAACTAACATTAACACACGGCTTAGAACATATTTAGTGAATAAATAAAATTTTCATATTCTAGAATTACTCAAATCATGTAAGTTTAAATAGAATATAAAATAAAATTAGGATTTGCTAACCTTAATTTTATTTTAGGGTTTATTTTGTGGTTTTCATCTTAGACTTCACGATTTGCCAATGCAAAATCTACGTTTCCACCCGCCCATTTTATTTTTTGAAGGATTTTTTTTTCATTCTAAAATATTAATTAACATTAATACACACTTTCAAAAATATTTAATGAATAAGTAAAGTTTTCATGTTCTTGAATTACCCAAATCATGGAAGTTTAAATTAGCTAATCTTAATTTTATTTTAGGTTTATTTTGTGATTTTCATCTTAAGACTACTATTGGCCGATGTAAAATCCACGTTTCATCTCACAGTAATAAAATTAGTCGTTCACATGAAGAAGGGGTGGGTGGGCGGGGCTAATTTTACTCTCTCCTTATACATTTTATGATTTTCTATTTATCAATACATAATCCTGCAAATAAATTTGTCGAGTGGGCGGGGCTAATTCTACTAGACCACAACCTTTGTTAAAATAACCTCTCTTCTCAAAGGTAAAAAATGAGTCATGGAAATAGATAGAGGTAGAGCGGGTGGGTGGAGCTAACATTCTTTGAAAGTAACTGCAGTTAGCCCCGCCCACCCGCCCATTTTATTCTTTGACGAATGATTTTTTGTAATTTTAAAATATTAACCAACATTAACACAACGCTTTGAAAATATTTAGTGAATAAATAAAATTTTCATATTCTAGAATTACTCAAATCATGTAGATAGAATATAAAATAAAATTCAAATTAGCTACGCTTGATTTTATTTTAGGTTCATTTTGTGACTTTCATCTTAAATTCTACTATTTGCTAATGTAAAATCCACGTTTCATCTTACAACAATAAAATTAGTCGTTCTCATGAAGAAGGGGTGGGTGGGCGGGGCTAATTTTACCCTGTTCTTATGCATTTTTAAAATGAATTTCTATTTATCAATAGATAATCCATGCAAATAAATTTGCCATAGGGTGAAGCTAATTCTACTTATTCTTACCTTAGACCACACCCTTTGTTAAAAAAGATACACCTCTCTTCTCAAAGGAAATAAAATGAGTCATAGAAATAGAGATAGGACGGGTGGGTGGAGCTAACATTCTTTGCAAGTAACTGCAGTTAGTCCCGCCCACCCGCCCATTTTGTTTTTTAACGAATGATTGTTTGTAATTCTAAAATATTAACTAACATTAATGCACAGCTTTGAAAATATTTCGTGAATAAATAAAATTTTCATGTTCTTGATCAAATAAAATTAAGGTTAGTTAGCTAATCTTAATTTTATTTTAGATTTACTTTGTGGTTTTCATCTTAAATTCTACTATTTGGTAATGTAAAATCCACGTTTCATCTCACAGCAATAAAATTAGTCGTTCACAAGAAGAAGGGGTGGGTGGGCGGGGCTAAGTTTACTCTCCCCTTATACATTTTTAAAATGATTTTCTATTTGTCAATACATAATCCGTGCAAATAAATTTGCCGACTGGGCGGGGCAAATTCTACTAGACCACAACATGTGTTAAAATAACCTCTCTTCTCAAAGGCAATAAAATGAGTCATGGAAATAGATAGAGATAGGACGGGTGGGTGGAGCTAACACCCTTTGTAAGTAACTGCAATTAGCCCCGCCCACCCGGCAAATTATTTTTTTAACGAATTATTTTTTTAATTCCCAAATATAAATTAACGTTAATACACAGTTTTAAAAATATTTAATGAATAAGTAAAATTTTCATGTTCTAGAATTACCCAAATCATGGAAGTTTAAATAGCAGAATATAAAATTAAATTAAGATTAGCTAATTTTAATTTTATTTTAGGTTTACTTTGTTACGTTTCATCTCACACTAATGAAATTAGTCGTTCACATGAAGAAGGGGTGAGTGGGCCGGGCTAATTTTTTCCTTCTTATGTCTACGTACTCTCTCATTGCTTTTTTACAATAATTTTATGAAGCCTAAAGTATAAATCGACGTAATTAATTAGTAGTGACAATATTTGCTGAACAAATAACACTTTCATCTTAAGGAATTACTAAATCATATTAGTTTAAATATATAGCAAATTCTAAAACATAAGAAGTTAAAATTAGCCCCACCCACCAACGTCGCTATTTTAGGGATTGATTTTATTTTCTTTTAGACGAAAAATAATAATTAAGATTTAAATTTTAAGTTCGGCTGCTAATTATTTTTTTCATTACAAAAAATGACAAAATCTTTCAAATTCAAAATAAAACAACTATTTACAAATATCGTCTATTCTGCCACCAAGGCATAATCATAGGTGTGTAGAAATAATACCGTGTGATTTTTTAACTTGTGATCTAGTTGTCTCTATTACATAGGTCGTATCTTAGAACATACGACTTGTGTTGTGTTGTGTTGGGTTGCCTACAATCTCGCGTCTTAACAACGTAAACTGTACTTTGTTTTCAATTTTACTCAGTTAAGTGATAAAATTTCGTGAGACTGGTAGTAGTAAGAGGAAATCAGGAAGTTGCACATTATGTTGCAAATTCATCACAATGGACGTTTTTCAAATTCTTGGGTAACTAGATCACAAATTTAAAAAAAATGCCCGGTATATTAAACTTAAGGTAAAAAAAGTAGAAAATATGTATAAAGACCTTACAGAAGTTCTACTCACGGGCTCTCTCTGCTCCGAGTACTTCCTCTTCCGCAGCCTCCTCGTAAACGGCTTCTTCATAGGTTGATACTGATACTTATTCTCCTTCGGCTTCACCACAGTACTGGCCGGCTTCTTCTCTTCAGCTGCCTCTTCATACAGAGGTTCCAACAGATCTAGCGGATCCAAGAGATCATCGTCATAGTCGTGACTAGTCGATTCGAAATTATTGGTTTGTGTAAAAACGGGATTCTTTTTCAAAGGAGGCTGTTGTTGCGTTTTTTCTTTTTCTTGCGGCTGCTTCTTCTTCTCCTTGTTATTAGTACTACTATTATTATTTGAGTTGTTATTCTCACTCTTCTGCGGATTCTCCTCTTGGTTTTCTGGCGGCGTGGATTTACCTGCCAAACCTTTAATCTGGAACGTATTCGATTACGACAAGACACGAACATTGACGAATGGTTACTTTCAGCGCTTCTGCGACCGTCAACAGCTCTTCGAGCTTGTTTTGAAAAATGTGTACTTCCCCAGCGTACATAAAATCACACAAAGATTTCAAAATCCAGAACGGTATGTCTCGCATGAAGAGAACGGGGTGCTGGAAGGGGCTAATCCCGCTTAGGATCTCCTCGAAGTACGGACTACACGATGAAAGAATAAGCTACAAGAAATAATAATGTAAAAAAAGTGATAGGTGTGTGTTAAGTCGGGTTTTACCCTATGGCACTTAAGCGTCTTCCCCTCCGCCGCTAGCGTCACGTCCACGTACTGCTCCTTGCTCAGAATATTCGGGAACGCCGTCTGCATGTTGCTATGGTGACTATTCCACCTCAGACACATCTCCTCGTTGACCGGACTCTGCGGCGGCTCCACCTGCTTGGCCTTGGGGCTCTGCCGCGTCACCTTCAGCTTGGTGGGCGACAGCGGCTGGCTCTTCAACGGCCCCGCCGCCCCCGCCGCCATCTTCTCCTGCGCCGCCACCTTACTCAGCCTCTCTTGCAACGGCATCGAATCTACGACAAGTCCATTCAACACACCGTGTTCCGGCCGGATTTAGCACCTCGGTCAGAGCAGGGTGTGGGCTGACCGCGGGTTTGGGGTCAGGACTCGGTGAAACGAATTTCGCCTTTCCTGCTCAGGTACTCAGGAGGGCTCGCAATAATTGAAAGAAAACAAATTAAAAAAAGTCGTTTCACCTACTGGCGCCCAATTCCGCGGATCACCCTGTACATACGTGAACTTCCAACCTCCGCTTTACCGGCCCCTCCTGCTCCGACCGGCCCATAAGCTTGCCTGCGCCCTGTCGACTCACCAACGCTACTTTGACTCTCCTGTTCCACGCTGTCGCAGCTGACTTTCTCGACTTTGTAATTGTAATTGACGCGTTTGCGCGAACGCAGCTTGCCGCGGTCGTAGTCGTGCGGTTTACCGAAAATGTCGTTCTTTAGGCGGCGCCACCGGCGGATGTTCGCCTCGCTGATGCCGTAACGCGCCTGCGCCTCTTTGTTGCCATTCTCCTCGGCGAAGATGACCACCGACTTTTTTAGGTCGAGGTCGTACGCGTTGTACAGGTGGCGGGTGTAGCGGTTTTTACGGCGCATGCTGGGCGGGGCTACTGTCGAGGGAGGAGTTAGAAAGGGGCGGGGTAAGAGGCCAGGCGGGGGGTATTTCTTTGCCAGAGATGGGGGGTGATATGACAAGAGCGTGGCGGGCGGAGCTTGATTGGAACTTGTCTATTACTAGTATTATTAATAATTTACTCAGAAATGATGCATTAATTTTCAATTAAAGTAAAGTTGTTTACTCGAGTATATGCAACCAAACATACACGTTTAAGATGGAACGCTAGATAACAGGCAGTCTGAATTAGGCGCCATTTTTTGCCCTAAGTGGAACCAGAAATAGACAATTACAGTCATAAAACCATCGTAAGTTGATATTGAAGACTACTGATAATTTATGACAGGTTGCCAACACTAGGCCTACGACGCCTATGGGCCGTTCCATAAAGACAAGTCTGGAGCGGGTTACCGGAAGTCTCGATTGCGGGGCCCAGAAAAGCCTCGAAGCGGCGTTCTCGATCCATCGAGAGGAACGTATAGATTTAAATAGAGGCCAGCGTCGGGAATTACAGTCAAGTTGCGCCGGATTTATTTTATACATAATCGCTGTGCAATCAGTCGTGTAAATTCGAGTTATTGAGAAATAATTTGTTCAGTTTAACCTACGCCGATTTTAAAAACCCTTCCAACGTAACAATATTATAGAATTTTAGAGATTCACAAAATTCTAAAGATTGTAGAAATTTTTGAAATGCAAACAAATCTAGAGTTTTGAAGAGTTTGAGGAAACTGCAGAATTTTAGATTCTGGGTACTTAATTCTCGTGACTAACTATAGAGCTTCTATGAATAACAGACACTTTAATGTATTCAAAATTTTGAAGATTCTGGAAATATTCAAGTGTAGAATTTTTAAGAATTGTAAAAAATTTAATGATTTTGGTTCAAAAATTCTGGACATTTTGAAAAATTTTAATATTTTAAATACTTCATAGAAAACATAACAGGCTCTACAAATTCTTGGATTTTTGATTTTTTGAAATTTAGGAAATTCTCGCTGCCCTGGAGATTTAATTTTCAGATTTCAAACACGTTGGATATTTCAAAGTTTCCAAAATTTCTGTAAATTTACATAATTCAAAAATTCTACAGTTTCGAGAAGTCTTTGGTAATTCCATAAATTCAGCCAAATTTGAGGCGTTAAAAATTTGAAGGATTTTGGTAATTTGGATTCGAAGATTATGGAAATATTTTTCAGAATTTTCAAAAATTTTTGAAAAATTTAAATTTTCGAAACGACAGAAAATTAAAATGTTCTAAACACTTGAATATTCAAGAGATTCTACAATTTTGGACGTTTTAAAAAATTTAGAATTTCATAATTTTAAGTATCTTAGAAACTATATTACTTCAAGAATTTACAGGTCAAAAAATTCTAAAATTCTGGACATTTTGGTGTACCTAAACATTTTAAAGATTTCAAAGAGGACAAAACAAGAGCTTCTGTAAATTCTTGGACTTTCAATTTTTTGAAATTTTCGAAATTCTAGCTACCCTGGAGATTTTTGAATTTTCAGATATTACTAGACAGCGGATTTCTGTCGGGCAGAGTGCAACGAAGCAGCGTTATTCTAATCTCAAATAAACGAAGTGCAGCCGGTAACTGGAATAAATTCCCATCCCGTACGAGCCGTACCGAGTTTGGCCTTGTCTAGCCCGACAGAAATCCGCTCTCTAGATATTACAAACACGTTGGACATTTCGAAGTTTTTAAAATATCTGCAAATTTACATATTTCAGAAATTCTACCACAGTATCGAAGTCTTTGGTAATTTCATAAATCCGGCCAAATTTGAAGTGTTAAAAATTTGAAAGATTTTGTTAATTTGGATTCAAAGATTCTGGAAATATTTATGCGTAGAATTTTCAAGCATTTTTGAAAAATTTAATAATTTGGCAAATGGCGGAAAATTAAAATCTTCGAAATATTTAAATATTCAAGAGATTCTGCAGTTTTGAACGTCTTCATAAATTTAGAATTCACAATTTTAATTTTCTTAGAAACTTTATTATTTCAAGAATTTAGAGAGTTCTTTGGTCTAGTGATTTCAAGAATTTCGAGTCTAAAAATTCCAAAATTCTGGACATTATGAAAAATTTTAATATTTTTAAGACTTCAGAGAGGACAGACAAGAGATTCTGTAAATTCTTGGACTTTCAAATTTTTGAAATTTTGAAAATTTTGAGTACTCTGGAGATTTTTTAATTTTCAGATATTTCAAACAAGTTTTCAAAATTTCTGCAATTTTACATATTTCAGAAATTCTACAGTTTCGAAGAGTCTTTAGTAATTTCATAAATTCGGCCAAATTTCAGGAGGTTAAAAATTTTAAAGATTTTGTTAATTTGGATTCGAAAATCCTGCAAATATTTAAGAGTAGAAGTTTGAAAAATTTTTGAAAAATTTAATTTTTTTTTTTTTGGAAAAGGCAGAAAATTAAAATCTTCAAAATATTTAAATATTTAAATATTCACGAGATTCTACAGTTTTCGACGTCTTAAAAAATTCAGCATTTCACAATTTTAAGTATCGTAGAAAATTTATTACTTCAAGAATATGGAGGGTTCAATGATCTAAAGACTTCAAGAATTTGAAGCTCTAAAAATTCTAAAATTCCGGACATTTTGGAAAATCTAAACATTTTAAAGATTTCAAAAAGGACAGAAACAAGAGCTTCGGTTCATTCTTGGACTTTCATTTTTTGAAATTTTCTAAATTCTGGCTACTCTGGAGATTTTTGAATTTTCAGATATTTCAAAAACGTTGGATATTTCGAAGTTTTCAAAATTTCTGTAAATTCACATATTTCAGAAATTCTACAGTTTCGAAGAGTCTTTAGTAATTTCATAAATTCACCCAAATTTGAGGTGTTAAAAATTGAAGGATTTTGGTAATTTGGATTCAAAGATTGTGGAAATATTTCAGTTCAGAATTTTCAAAAATTTTTGAAAAATATAAATTAAAATGTTCTAAACATTTAAATATTCAAGACATTCTACAATTTTTGACGTTTTAAAAAAATTAGAATTTCATAATTTTAAGTATCTTAAAAACTATATTACTTCAAGCATTTACAGGGATCTAGAGATCTCAAGAATTTCGAGGTCTAGAAATTCTAAAATTCTGTAGATTTTGAAAAATTTTAACATTTTAAACATTTAAGAGAAGTCAGAACAAGAGTTTCTGTAAATTCTTGGACATTCAATCTTTTGAAATTTTCGAAATTCTAGCTACTCTGGAGATTTTTAATTTTCAGATATTTCAAACACGTTGGACATTTCGAAGTTTTTAAAATATCTGCAAATTTACATATTTCAGAAATTCTACTACAATATCGAAGTCTTCGATAATTTCATAAATCCGGCCAAATTTGAGGTGTTAAAAATTTGAAAGATTTTGTTAATTTAAAGATTCTGGAAATATTTAAGCGGAGAATTTTCAAGCATTTTTGAAAAATTTAATAATTTTGCAAATGGCAGAAGGTTAAAATCTTCTAAATATTTAAATATTCAAGAGATTCTGCAGCTTTGAATGTCTTCATAAATTTAGAATTTCACATTTTTAATTTTCTTCGAAACTTTATTATTTCAAGAATTTAGAGGGTTCTTTGGTCTAGTGATTTCAAGAATTTCGAGTCTAAAAATTCCAAAATTCTGGACATTATGAAAAATTTTAATATTTTTAAGACTTCAGAGAGGACAGACAAGAGATTCTGTAAATTCTTGGACTTTCAAATTTTTAAAATTTTGAAACTTTTGACTACTCTGGAGATTTTTGAATTTTCAGATATTTCAAACACGTTGGATATTTCGAAGTTTTCAAAATTGCTGCAATTTTACATATTTCAGAAATTCTACAGTTTCGAAGAGTCTTTAGTAATTTCATAAATTCGGCCAAATTTGAGGGGGTTAAAAATTTGTAAGACTTTGTTAATTTGGATTCGAAAATCCTGGAAATATTTAAGAGTAGAAGTTTGAAAAATTTTATAATTTTGGAATTGGCAGAAAATTATAATGTTCTCAATATTTAAATATTCAAGAAATTCTACAGTTTTGAACGTCTTAAGAAAAATTAGAATTTCACAATTGTAAGTATCTTAAAAACTTTATTACTTCAAGAATTTACAGGGTTGTATGTATGAATTAGAAATTTCAAGAATTTCGAAGTCCAAAAATTCTAAAATTCTGGAGATTTTAGAAAATCTAAAGACTTTCATGATATCAAAGAGTACATAACATGAGCTTCTGTAAATTCTCGGACTTCTAATTTTTTTAAATTTTCGAAATTTTGGCTACTATGGAGATTTTTGAATTTTTAGTTATACACGTTGGATATTTTGAAGTTTTTACATACATATTTTAGAAATTCTACAGTTTGGTAATTTCATAAATTGGGCCAAATTTGAGGTGTTAAAAATTTGAAAGATTTTGTTAATTTGGATTCGAAGATTCTGGAAAAATTTAAGCGTACAATTTTCAACAATTTTTGAAAAATTGAATTTTTGTTTTTTTTTTGGAAAAGGCAGAAAATTAAAATCTTCAAAATATTTAAATATTCAAGAGATTCTACAGTTTTCGACGTTTTAAAAAAATTCAAATTTCACAATTTTAAGTATCGTAGGAAATTTATTACTTCAAGAATTTACAGGGTTCTATGATCTAGAGACTTCAGGAATTTGGAGGTGTAAGAATTCTAAAATTCCGAACATTTTGGAAAATCTGAACATTTTAAAGATTTCAAAAAGGACGGAAACAAGAGCTTCGTACATTCTTGGACTTTTTTACATATTTCAGAAATTCTCCAGTTTCGAAGAGTTTATGGTAATTTCATAAATTCAGCCAAATTTGAGGTGTTAAAAATTTGAAAGATTATGATAATTTGGAGTACTTTCAGAAGCCATAGTGATTATAGAAGTTCAGAAATCTATGGAGTTCTATAATTTAGAGATATCAAGAATTTTGAGATTCTAAAAGTTCTAGAATTTTAGTTCCACACTTAACAAACTTATTTTTCTGAAGTTGCAGAAAGAGACTTAATAAGCAGCCTATGATTAAAATACTTAATACTAAAATCCACCTTAAATCTGAAAAAAATATTGACATCTGTAAGTCTCATAAATTAAACATGTTTCTCATGAGAAAACCTGAGGGTCACACTTTGTTCCAAAATACTGAGGAAGAGAGGAAGAGCACATTCGAAAATTCATATCTGACGCTTCCAACAGCCTCTTCATAACGACGAATTAATTCACAAATTTTTGGAGTGGCTAAAACATTAAGAAAAGACTTTTGAAACTCGAAAAAACACACCTTCAAGATTGGAGTCTTAAACATCTGAATCAGAATTCAGAATTTCTTGTATCTATTAAATCATGTAAATCAAAAATGCAGAGAATATTTATAATTGCGGAAAATGAAGACGGTACTAAATTTAATAAAGCTCGTAGAAACGGGACTTAAACCCCGGCAACAACTTCAATTACAAGTCAATTATATGACGTTTGAAAATAAACATATTTATCGTTTTGTTTTGGTTGTAATGTGTAAATGTTGGACTTTGAAATGAGAGAACATAAAATGTATATTTGCCTGCATCATTTAATTATCATTTTAGAATTCAATCATTGAAAAAAGATTGTTGGTTAATGGCTAGTCAACAATCTCACCATTTTTTATCAATAGCCTTCATTAATAATAATAGTAATATTAAATTCGTGAAGGCTTAAATGATTAATAAATATTGGGTGTTCCATCATGCTCCCTCCGCCTACGCCCATGGTATGTATCGCACAATCGCATCCATTACGCCCGTTAGTATGCAACCAACTTAACAGTGAACTCCAATTTCATCAATTTCCACAGCGTCCACGATGAATAAAACATTGAAAAAAAGCGTGTAATTACTTTCGCCGGCACAGTACGTCCCGCCCCCGCGCCATCAATCGATCATCGCCCTACTGAAAAATGAATGGCCAATTAAACTGCATCCATACAAACAAACTCTCAAATCTCGCGCCACGTCAAACGTCAACAGTGTCATCCATTCGGAAACCAGCGACTCCCAAACGTAGTGTAAACAAACCCGGCCAGCCGCAAAAATTTCTCAAAAACCTACCCATGTCGTCCCACGAACTCTCGCCCGGGTCGTCCGCCAGGCCCCCCTTGCTCACTTTCTCCTTCATCGCGTACTGACACTTCTTCCACTTGTTTTTAACTTCTTGTAACGTTCGCTTCTCGATGCTGACGCCGTTGACTTTTTTCAAAATGTCCATCCACGCTTTCTGCCTGATCCATCTGTTGGTGGCCCTTTTGGCGAATTTGCCGTAGAGGACGTTATAGTGGGCCTTAACCGAGTCCACAAGGACGTCTACTTCATCGGTGGAAAAGTTGCTCTTGCGAGGCTTCCTGGGGAGCGACCAATCGGCCATTTTGTTTAGCACTGAAGCGAAAGACGGGCAAAAACGCGGCCTCCATCAACGAAACCACCCGGAGTGGCCTAGAACCGTCCCATTCGGGCCCGCGTACCATCAGCAACCACCTCAAACTAACCAAATTTCGAGAAAATTCCACCAGCACACGCCGACTAGATCCAAGCTAGCCTCGACATTAACAAAACCAGCAGTACCCAAACAGTCCAGCACCACGCATTCCAACAACACAAACAATGCCAAATACGCCTGACACCCCCGAAACTACCCCCGGGACCACCGCAAACACCCCCCGTGGCAAAGGAATACCCAGCTCGACCTAACCTTACCATGCGTTCCCGTGACACTTGTCATCCACGGCGCTCTTGATCCCCCACGTAAACCGACTCGCCCTTTCACCCCCTGTCACTCGCCCTTATTTCCACCGAAAACCGCGCGGTTTCGCCCGTTTTACCCGCGAAAAAACCGAACAGACACTTGTCTCGGCTGGAGGTAAATATACGAGACGCAAACACGTCGTGTCTGCGGCTCTCAAAAGTTGTGCCGGCGCCACAATCACGTTAAAAATTTAAAACTATCATCCCCCAATCAATCGATCGACGATTATACAACCCTCGCCGGTATTAATATTAAAATTAGTGGGCTCTACCTAAGGCATGCGGAAAAGCGGGAATTTCGAACCTGGGTCTTCCTCGAACTTCACGTCGAGAAACTGGCTGATGGGGGCGAGATCGTCGGCCTGCCGCCCCCGGGCCAAGGCCACGGAGTGGAGGTCGGGCAGGTGGTTGTGCGGCATGTTGACCTTGGGCGGACCGTCGGCGCCGGTGGAGATGCTGCCCTGGAACACACGCCCACTTACAACGTGGCAAGGAGCGGATTGGCGGGTTTGAACGGGCTGCCATGGCAACGCGCCCGCCGGCCAATGGCCACAGCAGTGCGAAAAGGGAAAACCAAGGTGGGAACGACGAGGTGTTCGAATTAAGACCGGTTGAAGACCCACAAATGACATCAAACAAAACTCAAACGCTGCGATTAACTTGAAAAAAGCAGCTGGCAACGCCGCACAAATTCAAATTCGGGGGAAAAACCTGTTTTGGGTTAAATTTTGTCAAATCTTCATAAAAAATGCAACTAATGAATCTGTAGCACTGAAAAATAATTCATTGCAGGAAAAATCTACCATTTGTGTGTCAATTATTGTATTGAGTGTGAAAGTTCTTTCTCTTCTGTTTATACAGAAATATTCCACTGAAAATTACTATTGATTCACTCACTTTTTGAGTTTAGATTACTTTGGTTTGCAAAATTATCTTTAATTTAACTTATTTCCAGTAAAGTGTGAATTTATATCTTGATTAAAAATTGTATCGATTTGTTTTCTTTCTTGCGAATTAGGTACTACTGGTATTGCAACATTGTCAATATGTCAAAACAAGTGAATTAAGGTTTCGTCTAACACAAGAACATACAATTTACCCCGCCCACCCACCCCGTCTCCATTTCACTGATTCATTTTATCTGCTCGGATAGAAAGTGAATCCCATACTGAACAGAAATAAAATTGGTCCATAGAATGAGAAAAGCGTGGATGGATGGGCGGGGTTAGTACTTGCTAAGATAAGACTGATTTTTGCAGATGATATACTTCCTAAGAAAATAGAGGGCGGGTGGGTGGGGCTAGTACTTGTTAAGATAAAACTGATTTTGGCAAATGACATACCCCCTAAGAAAATAGAGGGCGGGCAGGTGATATATTATATTTAACATTCTTGCTAAAATTGCTGAATTGGAATTAGTGAATTACTTAAATCGATATGGCAACACCGCTTGCGCAATTGCTTTCTTCAAACCGTTTAGTCCTGCGCAGGTTGTCAAGAAATCACAGGTACCGTGAGAAGTTATTTCTACTTAAAATTCATAGTGATGTAAAGTATTCTTTTATCACTAGAGATATTTATGAATAATTGTTTGTTTTTATTGTTTTAAAACATGAGATGTGTTTTTGTGTTCATTTTTTTTTTATTACCTTTTTCAGATGTTTGATATGATTGATGTTATTGTTGGAAAAAGCAGAAATTTTGAAATTTTAGAACAGTATACCTACAAATTAATGAAATAAATTTATTTTTCATAAATTTCTTTGATCAATAATATTAACAATTCCATGCTGACAACTCTGACAACTGTAGCATAAAATATAAATGTAAAATTGTATCCTAAAACACATCAACAAAATTATGTATTCTAATTTATATTCATATTTTTGAGGTTATGATAGCATGTTTTTGAAGTGTTCATTGTTGCCCAGTTAGTTCAAATTTAATTCCAAAGAAGGCGCCACCGCAAATTTTTTTGAGTTTTTAAGGAAACCTTGACTCTATTAAACAACAAATACTTGCTAATTTACGGAAAAAACTATATTTTAACTGCTTATTTACAATTAACAAAAAAAAAATAACTTATTTAATAAAAAATAGTTTTTAACATCTCTATTTATCCTATATGTGTTTTCTGCATACATAGAATAACTAGAAATCAAATTTTAATATTTAAGCAACATAACCTCACTCAGGAACCACTGAAAATCAAATAAAATCACTAACTCTAGTGATGGACACATAAACACATTGCACTCTTCGAAATCAAGTAGTCCGTTAGCACCATTAATTCAGCGATATAATCAGCAGTGCGCATGCGCAGTAGCTTTGTTCGTCGCATATAGAACATGGTGCTTCTAATGCTCTTTTATTTTTGTCGTTTTTATATTGGCAATGAACACTCACCAACTTAGGGATCTAATGTCACTTTCAGGAGTATTTTTTCTAAAAATAAATAAGTTACTTTAAAATCTGATTTTGAAATTTTGAAATACCTACATGAAATCCAAAAATGACAAAAGAAACAAAATTATGTACAATGTGTAGTCAAAGTCTGGATATACCTAAATCAATCTGGCAACGCCGGCTGCGCAGTGGCGTCTCTAAAAGCGTTCAGTTCTGCACAGGTTGTTAAAAAATCAAAGGTTTCGTAAAAGATTGCCTCTGCTTCCACTTCACAGTGTGTAAAGTTTTCACTTATCGCACTCTCTTTATAGCCCCCTGTTATCTCGAAAACCACACTGATATTTACACTTAAGCACCATTAGAACTATCAAGTTTTAATAATTAAGCAACATAACCTCACTCAGCGACCAATCAATACTAAATAAAATCACAGAATCGAGTCCCATACGTCAGCAGAATGTTTTTTCTAAATCAAGTAGTTCGTTAATGCGCATGCGCAGTAGCTTTGTGCATCGCGTATAGCACTTGGTTATTTTTGATATGTAAATGTGATAATCCTTATTAATACACATTGATCACTTCATTGTTCTACTTCGTAGTTTATGTACCGAATAATACTGGGTGGTGTGGGTGGTTTTATTATTATTGTTAATAATAAAAACTCACTGATCTAATAATCGAATGTCATTTTCAGGAGACTTACTTTTAATTCCCTAGTTTACAATTTGGCTAAAAATAAATCTGAAAAATTTCATTTTGAGGTTAGTTTTAGAAGAAAGTCACAAATATATCAAAATCTTGCCATTTTCCTCGTCCAGAAACGAAAAAAACCCACAAAACTGTGTATACAAGTTGTCAAAAGTCTTGAATTACCTTACAGTGTAGACTCCTCTGCGCGCAGCGCCATCTGATCCCTCCGCACTGCCTCTTTTTGTGCACCGTGTACATGTACCCCTTATGTATGACCTTCATTCCCCCCTTATTCGACTTGATAACCTCCACTTGGTCCTCCATCCTTTGTCCCCGCACTCGCGTCACCTGTCGCTAGAGGGCGCAGCGTCGTTCCCGTCACAGCCGCCTTCGCGTTGTGTCTATCCGGCTCCGCTCCGCCCCTCCGTTTGGGAACCGCTCATCGGCCGGGGACCTAAATATAGAACATGTCCGCAGATCAATAAAGTTGCCGTTTTGTTGAATTTGATTTTCGTCGCAATGTCGGCGGGTTTTCGCGTGGAAAATGATGGAAAGCGCGCGAGAAAGGTGGCTGCGGGTTACCTGAATGCGGAGGCGGCGATGGGGCGCTCTCCCGCGGGGATATTTTGGAAAATTCCGGAAAATGCTTGCGTCAAATGGAACTGCCGGCTTTATGTCGGGCCTCAAAACATACTGCGCTATATTTAGATGGCCTTATTAACCTCAAAGGGACCGATCGAGTTCGGGAACGGCGCCGTTTTGGGCGCAAGCGAATTTTGCGCATTTGGAGAGACAAAAAAAGGCGATAAGAGTACATGGAGTGCGATAAGGTCGGGTTTGGTGTGGAATGGTGGGTTGTTTTACGGTGATAATGGGTTGTTTTTTGATAAAGGTACTGGGGTTTGTGGTTTGAGGGTTTTTTGAAATGGGGTTTTATTTGAATTTGGCGCCGACTGACGTCAAGAAGAATTTGGAAAATTGTTAAAATAAGCAAAAAATGAGTAATTAATTTATAAAAAATACATTATTGAATCAAGTAGAATCCGCGGCTTAAAATATTTCCCCGAAATATATTATAATGAAAATAAAGAATTAGAAACATTAAGAAAAGAAGTTTAAAACCGCAGGCCAAAAGTTAAAAAACAAATTTTTAGTAAACAAAAAAAATTATATTATCGAGTCGAATAGAACTCACCGCTTAAGGTACTTCCCCGAGATCTTATAGTGATAAAAAGAAGAATTCAAAAAAGTAAAAAATAGAATTCAAGATGTAAGGTGGGATTTAAAAAATTAGTCTTTACCTAATAATAACAATCGTATTATTGAAACGAGTACACTCCGCACACACAAAGAAAACAAGATTGAAGATTTATTTAAGAGCTAAAAAATTGGCCTCTAGTTAACAATAAAAATTTCATTATAGAATCGAGTAGGACCCCGGTTTAAGATACTTCCCCCAGATTTTATAATAAAAAAAAGAGAATTAGAAAAAGTAAGAAAATGATATTCAAGATGTAAACTAAGAATTAAAAATATTGTCTTTAGCTAATACTCAAAATTGTATTATTGGAACGAGTACAATCTGCGGCTTAAGGTAGGTACTTTTCTAAGACTTCATAATGAAAAAAAAAAGAAAATAGAAAAATTAAGAAAGAAGAACCGAAGAATCATTTAAGAAGTAAAAGAAAGGCCTCTAGTTGTCAATAAAAATTGCGTTATTTCGTCGTGTAGAACTTGCAGCTTAAGATACTTACAATGAAAAAAAGGAGAATTAGACAAAATAAGACAATAAGATTCAAGTTATACGAGAAATCACATTATTCAATGAAGTACAATCCGTG